CAAATGACAATTTTGACAAACTTTCGCAAATAATAAATGAAACTCGTAAACTACTAAAGAAAAAAAATGGGATGGTTGGAAGGCGTTTTGTTCTTCTTTGGCCCCTGATATTTCCCCATCTGCTATTTGGACTAATATTCGAAGATTTAGATCGGCGTTCAGAGAACCAGCTCAGAAGTTCATAAATGAGTCCTTTTGTTTCCCCGGATAATACACCTTTATTCAAATCTATTGACAATTTATCTCATGACCACGGCCTCAACTCTCCTTTTAGCCTAACTGAACTAAAATGTGTTTTGTCCTATGTAAAAGATTCTGCCCCTGGGAGTAATGGAATCCCCTATTCATTCATATCCCACTTAAGTGACGACAGTCTTATTTACTTATTACAAGTGATCAACTCTATTATGGTTAATAACGAAATTCCTATATCATGGAAAACTCAGGAATTAATTCCCTTATTGAAACATAATAAACCTCCTGCAGATCCAAATTCATATAGACCTATAGCTCTGGCTTCAGTTCTTGCTAAAATAGCAGAACACTTAGTTAAGAACAGATTGGAATGGTTCTTAGAAAGTAAAGCTCTTCTTTCTTCCAGCCAGTATGGCTTTCGAAAAGGTAAAAGCACCATGGATAGCATAGGCATTTTCACCACTGATATCAGATTAGCCTTCTCAAATAATTATTCCCTTCTTGCTGCATTTATTGATATATCTGGTGCTTACGACAATGTGGACATTCAAATCTTAAAAAACAAACTTATAAAACTAGAAGTTCCTTTGTTTTTGATCGATTTTATTATTAACCTTCTTTCGGAAAGATTGATAAAAATAGATATGGGAGATGGCAATTTTAAATCTAGGCTGACATGGAGAGGCCTACCTCAAGGTTCGGTTTTGAGCCCTTTACTGTACAATGTCTATACGTATGATTTGGAGTCTTACATCGCAGGCAGAGCTAACATTTTACAATATGCGGATGAATTAGTTTTTTATGTATCCGGATCATCTATTATTGAATTAAGTCAATCTTTAAGTAATGTGTTAACACTCTTAAAATCATGGTTAGATAATAACTCACTGAGTCTTTCTGTTTCTAAAAGTTGTGCCGTCTTATTTACAAGATTACGATCCCATCCCCCATCATTTTCTGTACATTATGGTAATGACATAATTCCAGTGTGTAATGAAGCTAAATTTCTGGGAATCATTCTAGATTCCAAATTAACTGGGTTATCACATTGCTATTATGTATCAGCTCGATGTGAAAAATTATTAAACATTTTAAGATGCCTATCTGGTGTTTGGTGGGGAGCTCATCCATCAATATAAAAGTTAATATATAATGCTATTATCAGAAGTATTCTTGATTATGGAACTTGCTTGCTTGATTATGGATTATGGAGCCCTGTAGTGCATTAGCACTGAGTAAGTTAGATGGCATCCAGTCTAAAGCTCTTCGCATTGTAACTGGCGCCATGAAGTCAAGCCCTATTAATGCACTCTAGGTTGAATGTGTGGATCCTCCTTTAAAACTAAGGAGATAATTTTTAAGTGATAAATTTCTATTTGGAGCTCTTCAACTTTCTGACCACCCTCTTTTTAACAAGTTACACCATTTATTGCGTAAAATTAATAATTCGGCATATTGGAATAACAAGTCGCTTCCTTGCTTGGTAATCAGTTACATTAAATTTACTTCACTGCTAGCACCCACCCACCGATCACAATATCTTCCTATTTTTTCTATTAATTATGAAGCTCTTACCATTTCACCCAAAGTAATTTATCTAGACTCTTTACGTAATGATAAAAATGCTAATATTAATCTAATGAGTATTGTTAATAATACAGAATGGTCAGACTGGCATTACATTTACTGTGACGCATCTAAACATCCATCTACTGGGATAGTTGGAATCGGTGTTTTCCACCAACAGTATAAAATAACACAAAAAATTAAATTACCCCCAGAAACCTCAGTATACACAGGAGAATCTTATGGAATCCTTAAATCATAGAATACATTTTGCTTGCACAACTCAAAAAGACAATTATTTTTTCCGATTCCAAAAGCACTTTACAGGTAATAGAAAAAATTCCCTTTAAAGCTTCTTCCTCTAATGCTTATTTGATCGATTGTAGGAAATTATTACTGAATTGTACTTTGAAGAATCTAAATGTGCTCTTTGCGTGGATACCTGGCCATCATAATATCACTGGCAATGAAGTAGCTGATAAACTCGCTAAAGATTCAGTGAATAGGCTAGTTGACCCTTTTTGGAAAAAGGTTTTAAATGGTTAATAAATGTTCTATTAGACCGAAAAAAAATGTATTGTATTTTTTTGAGACCGAGAAAGCTACAAATCTTCAATTTTAAAATAGACTTTTCATGGACATACAAAAACGCTGTCGGCCATTTTAGTCTATAGATTATCTATGCTATGATGTCGACGGTAGTAAACAAAAACTCGTAAGCACGTAGAAAATAACCTATCTGAGTTTATAATAAAAAAACATGATTTCTAATAGATACCACGAAAAACAAATTAATTATCGTTATTGTATTGTACGAGAATGTAAAAAAAAACCTTGAAGACTCCAGGAAAGTTGTGGATTAAAGTGCCGAAAGAAATTAACCTACGCAATACCTGGTTAGAACTTGCTAAAAGTGATCCTGCAACTTTATCGACTCATAGTAAAATTTATTTTTGCGAAGATCACTTTGATGTAAGTATTCATTGAATAATATTTTAAGTCTCTTCATTTATTATCAGTTTTAATAATACAAGTTTTAAAGTTATGTATGAACGACATTTAGTTGTTTACTAAAAGAGACGTCACAATCATGGCGGATGTGGTGAACAGCGTTTTTAGTGTTTAAAAAGTATAGACTGAAAATTATTTTTTTAAATTAAATTTCTACAGCAATCTTCTGCTTTTATGAAGTGAAATCGATATATTTAGGTTCCCTAGACCAAATACTCTAAGAAATAAACATTTATTTAATACAATTCGACATGAGTCAACTAGCCTATTGTGGTGACGTCCTTCCCTATACAAATTTAGTAAATGATCTTCTTTTACTTCCTAAAGTGCATCTACGCATATCTTGGGAAGAAAATTGGGATACCAGTAGTCGCATCAAAGGTAAACATTATAAATTAATTCAGCAATGTATTCCCGATAAACCATGGTTTTCTAAAATTCATTTAAGTAAGTTTGCCACATCAAGTCTCATAATAATGCGCCTAGGTCATAACTGTTCTTCCCACCTGGTTAAACTGGGCATAGTAAATGATAGTATTTGTGCTTGTGGTACTGGAGCAGAGGACTTAAATCACATCTTCGAGTGTCCCCTCAACGATTCCTCCTCTTTTATGGATTCATTAATATCCCTTAATTTACCTCTCCCTACTTCTATTCCTTCCTTATTGTATTATAAAAATTATAATATATATAACAAGCTATCTGAATTCCTGACTAAACATAATATAAAATTATAAGTAATAATATAATGTATTTTATATACTTAAAAAGACCTATTACTTACGTTTCAAATTAATTTTACGTACTTACCTGATCCTAATCCTTCCAAATTCCGTTTCATAACCTTTTTATTTCATTATTTTGGTTTCCTTACCTTTTACACTGTCGTGGCCAATGCACAAACCGTGCGAGCCATTATAATAATAAAAAAGAAAAAAAAATGGTTGCCTGTAAAGTCGGTTTTACGGGCGAAGATTTTACGTGACAACGTCTTTTTCTCGGTAGAATATTTATTGATATGAATATAATTAAATTGCACAATAGGAACAAGGAATTGAATGAAAATAAGAATTGCACAAATTTTAACTATAGAAATATATTTTGTTTACTAAAACATTGTACATGTAAACTTAAACTTAACACGAGAGACTCATCGTAACGTTACCGAGCGTTACACTTTTTCATAAGTGACTCCCAGCCGCAACCTAATTTAAGACGTTGTCACGTCAAAAAAAAACAAACTGAAATCGTAAGCGATAGCCGTTAGTTAATAGGCTAGTTGACCCTTTTTGGAAAAAGGTTTTAAATGGTTAATTAATCTTCTATTAGACCGAAAAAAAATGTATTATATTTTTTTTTAACCTAGAAAGCTACAAATCTTTAATTTTAAAATAGATTTTTCATGGACATACAAAAACGCTGTCGGCCATTTTAGTCTATAGATTATCTATGCTATGACGTGAACTGTGGTAAACAAAAACTCGTAAACACGTAGAAAATTACTTTTAACTGAGTTTATAATAAAAAAAAACTTGATTTCTAATAAATACCACGAAAAATAAAGTAATTATCATTACTGTATTGTACGAGAATATAAAAACACATCCTTGAAGACTCCAGGAAAGTTGTGGATTAAAGTGCCGAAAGAAATTAACCTACGCAACTTTATTACACTTATTCATATGTTGTATCAGTTTTATGTTTATTACTACATTGTAATACTAAATGCACTGTACTTACATAGATGCCTTGTCGTTTCTCTGCTCCGCAGAGCAGAAATCGGGATTTAGTGCAACAAATTCACCAACCATCAATGAGTCAATTCTTGGCAGATTTGTGCATTCTGCTTTCACAATTAGTTCCATAATTAGTTTTGTCAAAAAACTGATTTTTTCTTTCCTAAAGTTAAAAGTGTTTTAAGATAAATTTAGTCAGACGAAAAAATCCACCTACAGTAACACGCGAATGACATTTAGTTGTTTACCACAAGAGACGTCAAAATCATGGCGGATGTGGCGAACAGCGTTTTTAGTGTTTAAAAAATATAGACTAAAAAATATTTTTTTAAATTAAATTCTACAGCAATCTTCTGCTTTTATGAAGTGAAATCGATATATTAAGGTTCCTTAGACTAAATACTTTAAGAAATAAACATTTATATATTACAATTCGACATGAGTAAACTAGCCTATTGGCCCCGTGGAGTTAAATATACCGTTTGATTTCAGATACTACACACCAGGTTACTCAGATTCTCTGCTGGATCGGGTGGAAGCATACACACCACAGGTGACTAGAATTTGTGTAGATGGATCGAAAATGTAACATCTGAAACCATACTGCCATTACTTAGTTAAATTCTAGATAGTTAATATGCAATCAACGGGTTTAAGTTAGCTGGTTTAATTATATAAAATATTTTTTGTATGCTGCAGATACCGGAACTGTTTACGGATAGAGTACCCAGCGACTGTCAAAGCGAACTAACAATTGAGAATGGAAATTGAAATACTTTTTGATACATCTTAATTTTATTAATTAATAATAGATATTCTTCTATTTGAGTCTTTGATTTTGTTATTGTTTCCCAAGAGTCCAAACAATTTTTTGGACGCGGTCAGCTCTTCCACCAATATTCGATATTTCGATTACCATCGATTGGCTGCATACTCGATAGCTAAAAATATGGAAAGGATTAATAATTTTCTAACTAAAATTAACTATACGTTAATTGTTAAATCATGTTTTTTTACCTGAATTCAGAACTCAACAGATTCAATACATAAACACCTTGAACATCAATTTCAAAGAATTTTTGAATTTCGTTGTTAAAATGATTCATATCGTGGGTGGTCAGGTGATTTTCCAAATCACGTAAAATATTTGTAGTCAATCCCTGTAAATGTCAAAATAAAATGAATGTTTCATTTATTTTACTACACTACTTTGAACAATTTACGGCGGACCCATTAAAGTAAAATTTGTGTGCATGGACCACACATTGTACCCCTATTACACCACACTTTGAACGAATTCGAATAGTTTGCGAGTGCGAAATGCCAATGTCAAATTTTGTATGGAAACTTGTCAGCAGCGCCACAAAGTACGTAACGAGAACTAAAAATCAGTACCTACACATTTGTAATTGACATTTCGTACTCGCAAACTATTGGAATTCAATAATGGTTCGTGCTAGAGAAAACTACTCATTGAAAAAAGTCACAAAAGTACATTATATCTTACGGAACTGCAAGAATGTAGATCACAAGGCCGGCCTATAATATACCTATACGGATGTATCTTCCATACACAGCTTGCATACGTTGCCACGATCATGGTCCGACGAAAGCAACGAAGGTTGTGAAGTACCATTTCCAAGGGCGATATGCTAGTGGACGTAAGGCCCGGAGCACATTGGCGGCACGGCACGGCATGGGATACTTCGGCATCCCTACATGTAAGCGCACACTGGCGGTAACAATGCCGTGGTATCCTTAGGTATGCCTCGACGTCCCTAAGCGTTCCGAGGCATCCTTAGGCATGCCGAGGCGTCCTCAGACACAACCTTTCACAACAGTCTTAACGCAAGCTTGTTGTACATGTGAGTATTTATAATGGTAGAATGGGACCTAGTTCTCATAGCAGTTCTTGCTGAAGAAGAAGAGAAATCTATACAATCAAAGAGAAGATTTGGGCGGGCGCTGTCTTAGGCGTTCCGAAGGATGCCGACACGGCATGCCTAAGCATCCCACGGCATTGTTTTTGTACCTACGACCTTCAACATTGAAATTTCAACTTTATTTTCATACTCTTTAGTTATATTTTTATACGTCGCCTAAAAATACCCTGCCCTGCCGTGCCGCCAATGTGCGCTGGCGCTAATGCGTCCGTTTTCTTTAATTAATTTTTTTACTGCCAGCACTCTTTCTTCGGTGACAGCCGTCGTAGGACGGCCACTCCTTTGTTCATCCCCCAAAGTAAGACGACCGCGTTTGAACTCGCTACACCAGCGCAGCGGAAGATGGTTGCTTTTGAAGGTCCTTCATCCATAAAAGCAGTTCGAAATAGATCACGGACAGGGTATTGCGCCTATCATCCAGAACTCAACCCAATAGAGTTACTGTGGGGTATATATGTATAATTAAAGGGAAAGTTGCATCAGAAAATGTAAAGTTTAGCTTGAAAACTGTGGAAGAATTATTTAGAAAAGAAGCAAATTCTATTACTTTTGATATGTTTAGTGACGTTTGGAGAAAGAAATTCAGACGGCGAAATATGAAGCAATATTGTAATAATCATACCTTTAATAAAACAAGTAACACATATATTTTTTATTTACTTATCCACAACGTACCCAATCTTTAGTAAATTTATGACAATTGCTTTTACTGGTTGCCATGAAAGAATAAAAAATCCTCATAGACAACGGATTGTGAAAACCAGTTGCGATGGTGACCAAAAGCCAATGTACGGAACCATAGTACTCAGATTTATTACACGGCAGCCAAAGAGTGTTAGTTATGTGTACAATGTGTGAAGTTTTCAGAGTTCATCTAGATAAGCAAAAACCGAGTGGTAGCTTTTTCTCTGAGCTAGGAACGTAAATTTTCCCTATACTTCGACTTTTTATTAGCTGCAGTAAAATGACGTTTCAAAATGTCATTCCGTAAAATAATGTTGACCGCCTAATTTCAATAGGGATGTGATTAGGTTACCAGAAAATGTAATCATTTCATAACTAACTCATAATGATCATACTTAATTCTATTTATTATTCATATAAATAAAAGGGTGTATAAAATCTCAAGTTGGTACTGGTTTTTAGTTACGGTGCAACGATGAGGCTTGTCCGCCATTTTATTTCATTTGTCATTCGGCTTCTAACTTCTGTTTTGAGTGGACGAATAACTTTGCTTTGCCCCCTGCGAGTTGTATTAGTTATCATTATTGTTAATTTTTTGTAACGTTATGTTTGTTTTTCGTTACCTACTTTTTCTTAATCGTGTCAGCTTTTTTTTGTTTGTTACGTCGAAGGCATGGATGCTCAGTTGAGCATATCCCAAGCTGGAGATACATTTCTATCTCCTAAGAAAAAAAGGCCACGTGTAGCTCTTAGTGCAACCGAGAAACTTTGGGTCAGAAACGTTTACAAATATGTGTTTGAATAGGAAGTTAGTACCCCAAAACCTCCCGAAAAACCGGGCCCAAAACTTACATTTAAAGAAAAACTTGATGATTTCACATTCACCGCTATTGGATGAATTGTACATCAGTTCTTTCATAGAAATGAAGTACCCACCATCGCAAAGTTTAGTTTACCTGTCATCACTAATCTTTTTAATATACGTTAGGTATAATATGTTTTCTCCCACCCCATGTGGAATTTAAACCAATTAGATTCAAGAATGGCTGACCACTAAAAATATTACATTTGAACCAAATATAGTGAAGGCCACTCTCATAGATATTGTGGAACAACAAAATCATACTGAGAAATATGCCGTGGACGAGATTGCTGCATAAAAAGGTATCAGACTTTTAAGACTGCCCCCTTATCACTGTGAATTGAACCCCATCGAGTTGGTTTGGGCTCAGGTAAAGGGGCACGTCGCAAACATTAATAAAACATATAAAATGCAACTTTATTCCAAGAAGGAATCAACAATTCCTTGACACCGGTTAAGTGGAGTGACTGTGTGTCTAACACTATAAAAGAGGAAGACAAAATGTGCCACCTCGATCATATTATTGATGAAATGACAGACAGATTTGTCATTAGTGTGACCGAAAGCGACAGCGATAGTGATTCCGAAAATATTTGATTAATAAATAACATTGTTATGACTTTTTGTTTAATTTTGGATGTACGTCCCGATACTTCCAATGAAAAAGATCAATCCTTTACTATAGTAATAATAATAGAATAAAAAATCATTACAACTTAATATTAAATCTCTTAAACGAAACCAAACTGATCATTCATTTATTGAATGATTCACTTACTCACTTAGCTACATCCCTATTTATTTTTCTTCAAAAAGCGGTAACCCACAAAACGTCATTTTACTGCAGCTAATAAAAAGTTCTACTTTAGGTGTCCAATTTCTGCAAACACATATCTGGAGAAATTGTTGTTAAGGAATTTATGTACCTAACGATAGTGTTTTAGCATAGTGTTATTTAGACATTAATTAACTATGCAGATTATTTATTAGACAGACATAAAGGCCAAATATTAGGTCGAAATCGACACTCGGTTAAATTACTTTAAACCTCAAATTACTTGGGCTAGTAACAATCTAGTTTTACTAAGAAAGCACTTACTTGTAACTTACATGTTGTTCCGCTGGGAGATTCTAACTCTGTTAATGTAATGTAATGCATTGTCAGGCGCAATGATTTAGCAAATGAAACATTTAATCAAAGGCCTCGGTTTTTAAACTCAGCAAAATGTGGTTTGTGTGGTGTGTTTTATCTAGTTTTCCTACATCACAAAACAGTACAGAAGGTAATCTACAAAGTGCGTTAGAGCAATGCACATATAGACAGCTCACAGACACGACATCTCACTACTGCGAGCGCGAGTTTCATCAGCTTGAGATAAGAGTTTGTGAACTTGTTTGTGCATAAAATTGAGCAACAAATAATAAGTAATATTTAAAGTCAAACACGCTGAATGTGCACTCAATATTGTGTTTATTCTGTGTTATAAAGATAAACATACTGTATAAGGTCTTATAACGCATGCGTCAAGGACAGAGGCGGCGTAAGGCGTGGGCGACGTGGGCCACCGCCTACGGCCTCGCGTCTCCAAACATTTTTATGCATTGCTTAAAAGCGATTTTTTTTATTAAATCCGTCTTCAGGTCGCCACAGAACAGGGCCTCGCGAAATCTGTCTTGCCCACATCAAATTTAAGTCTTGCCCCGCCACTGGTCAAGGAGTTCTGACAGTTCGAAATGCAAGCTCGTTTAAAATTTTATGACTTATTGCTTTATGCGGAAGAATTTAGACTAGAATTTAGATTTAGAAGTTCTTTGACTCAACGCGCAATTCTGAACGCGCTGTTAGCAATACTGCTGTCCTCAAACTAAAGTGCGGCTAAGTGACTTGTGGTCTATGTTTCAGTCTTAAATTGCATCGTATACAGTTTTTAATTCTCTATAGATCTGTCTTTAATATGTATCTTTTATAGTTTAAGTCTAAAAATCCGTCATATGATGAATGGTTACAAAATAGCAATAATTTAAAGTTAACACTCCGTTTTTTGGCTTATCTCAAAAGTTGGTTTTGTCATTTAGCCGCGTTTTAGCTTGAGGACGGCAGAATATATCAGGCACGGACCGCGAGAAAAAGGAGACTGCTATATGGCGACGTTTAACCGATCATGCATTTGAATATCACAAATATTCACACGCCTTCAAAGTGAGGGAATATTTTTCCATCTATTGAACTTATTAAAATAGCCTTTCATGCGGTATCATCAATATCAAATATTTATCTTGTCCGAAAATAAAGTAGGAAAAAATAAGAATTTGGGAAAAGGTATTGGCCAGGAATTTCGCAAATTAAATAAAATGTTATAAATATCTATATATTTTATTACTTAATACAATATTTGGTATTACCTCCCCTAGCCCTAGTCACAACACACCTAGTCAATTTTCCTCAGCGTTTTTCCTTGATAGCATCTTTTAATTTTTCTAATATTGTTGCGTAGTATTCTCCGGTTATAGACCTTCCCTTTTCTTTGTAATCAATCAGGATTATCCCCTCACAATCCTAAAAGCAGTAGCCATCAACTTTCCAGCTGACTCCGACACCTTGAATTTCTTTGGCGGTGGTGTCCCCTTTTTATGCCATTGACTTGTTTAGTAGGCAACTGTTCGTTAACGAATGACCCAATGGGGTTGAAACTCGGTTTATATACTAATGATGAGTCTTCAATCCGTATGACACACTTCCGTATGACCATTATGGTGGCCATACACGATCCTTCCTATCGTCCAATCGGCATGACGCTACCGATTGAATCAGTTAGAATTGACCGTGTGTGCGAGTGGATTGGCATGACAGTTAGAATTGATGGCATGATCGAATTTCGATTCTTTTGGCTTGATCATATCGATTGGATACTGCCGATTGGCAGTTCAGTTCGGGCGGTCAGTCTTGTCAAGGATTTTGTCGATGGTAGATGTCTGGCGTGCTACGCGCTCTCTCTCGCTGTTAACCTCTCGTGCGCCGAGATAGCGTTCCTCATAACAGTTTCTTGCTTCTCAATTAATGGAGTAACTAACGTTAGGAGTTTCACGTAAGTTTCTTCATTCATTCGTAAATAATTACTATAATCTTTTGGCTTAATCCTCAATTCTTCTATTAAATTTGTATGAGCAAACTGTTTTCTTTTCTTTAACCACTGCTTGCACCACTCTGCTCGATTTTTTCGTTTTTTTTGCTTCATTTTCACGAGTACAATGCCCAAAACGGCTATAGCATCGTCGTCTGTCATCAGTGACGCCATGACTGCAACTGAACGTCGCTGCCGATCAGTTAAAACTGATGGTGTATGGTGTATGTGGACGAACTGCAGATTGGATCAAGCCTGCAGTGTCATGCCGATTGGACGATAGGAAGGATCGTGTATGCCCACCATAAAGGGGCTCATGTACGGAACGATTGATCTGTACGATCCGTCGTTTCAGACCGATCGAAACGATGGATCGACAGTGTATATCAAGATCGTTAACGATTTACTTAATCGCAGACGATATCGGAGATCGCAACAAAAACCCATGCAATCATGAATATCGTAAACGATCGATCGTCAGTGTCCCATATACGGTACGATTGATCTGTACCAATTGTCTGTATTGATCTTAACGATTTCCTTTAGATCTATCGCAACGACGAATCGTTTACGATCAATCGTTTCGTGTATGTAGTGGCATTTCTGAACGATCGATCGTTGTCGATTTCCTTCAGATCGATCGCAACGACGAATCGTTCAGTATATGGGGCCCTTAAGCGAGCGTGCCTATTCCCACTTCATCCCCTCCATTCCACAAACTTTTGGTTCTCCTCCCTGTACCGACTGATGACCCACGTCAAAATATGTAGCATGAAACAATTTCGCGCGTTGTTGCCTCAGCGTAAATCAGCCTTTACTACTTCACATGTTTACTCGACGATAACTTGAAAGCTTATGAACAGATTAGTTTACAATTTTTTAGAAAGTATTTTATTTTTTGACTATCCAGTGTTATTTTTGTAAACAACCTGAAACAATTGATTTTTTTTTGTCAGAGTACAATATAATTCAAGCATTTTTAATTAACGTGACAATTCATAATCAGAGAAGTATAATCTTCAAAAACATTCTAGATATATGCTTGTCTATAAATATCATCACATAAATCAACTTCGCAGAACGAATCCTTACTTATTAATGTAAATGCTATAGTGAGTTTGTTTGTAAACCTAATCACGCAAAAGCTACTGAACGGATTTATATGTAATTTGGTACTTTACTGGGATACTTTTTAACTCTGAAAAATAGTAGGGCCCTGAGTAATTTCCAAAAAACCAAAGTACCGGACGAAATTGCGGAAGCGGCCGTTAGTACTTCAAATTTTGTGTAAGTTTACAGAATGCCTACATAAGTGACCAATTTATTAAGCTCCTTCAAACTGAAAGAAAATAATATAAATAATGAAATCACCACTAACCTATTTATTGCATCAATTTGGCCATACATATTAATGTAACAACATGTTACCTGTAACAAACATAACATAAAATTACATCATTGATTACTTTATTGTGTAAATGCTGGTATGCAGTTTACTTATTCAGTTTTACCATACCATATGTTCCCCACGGTTTTGTGAGCCAGGGATAACTTAGCAAATCATCATTTAGAGGAATTCGATTGGGTAAGTTTTAACATTGCTCAAATTGGCCCAAAAGTACAAAAAATTTTGGCATATACGGTAATTCTTGGGGTAATTTACACTTTATTTTACAGTCGTTAGATTTTAACGGACACCTTTGTATAATATATTCATTTTAAAAAGGACTTATCTTTTTACCGGTTTGGAAAACATACGAATCATTTTTAATGGCTATGGGTGTAGTAACATTCAGTCAAAGAGTGATCAAAGTTGTTTATATAACATCAAAACAAATCTATTATGTCGATAAAATATTTTTTTTTTATTACACTGTGGTATTAATATTATCATTTTTACTACATGCAAATGTGCTAAGACAAATATTATAGATGGTAGGCGACATCATAAAGTCTATTGCCATACATTTTTCGCCAAACACCTCCATAAACACATTAGGGGCTGTCCATTAATCACGTGGGGCTCCAAAGGGGGAGGGAGGGGTCCATAAAAAATTACGAAATATCACAACGGGGAGGGGGGGTGTAGTAATATATCACGTGTATTTCCGTGGTCCAAGGATACTGTACATTAAACAATGTTCATGTATTAGTCCAAAAAAGTATTTCATTTCTTTCATTTTTTTTCGTAATAACTAAGTTAGTTATTATTGGTAGTCTTTAATTTTCTATAATTAAATTAGAAATAAGATTCTTTGTGGGTATTAAAAAATACACGTGATGTAGGGGCAGGGGGGGGAATAGTCTTAAACCTCACCACGTATCACCAAGGGGGAAGGGGGGGTTAAAAAATGCCAAAAAACATCACACGATTAATGGACGGCCCCTTATAAGGTGTGATACACTAAAAATCTAAAATATGGTTACAATATAAACATAACAAAAATAATAAGCTTTCTTTAGTTAACGAGAGTTTAAAAATTCTCTCTAATCTGTGGCTCATTCACAAAATATAACACATTTTCTGTCACAGAGTACCTTATTATAACCGGAAATGCATAGATACCTGATTTTAAAAGTTACTCTCGCGTCAAAGTTTGGGAGTAGAGGCTCGTGACGGACTTTTGAGTGAATTTTCCCTTATAAGTTTACTTAAACGTGACGTCATGCGACTTTTCAAATCAATATATCTCTACAATGTTTATATTATGTGAAAAAAGAAAAAATACGTGTCCAATACTTTTAATCTACCTGATAAACAAAGAAAAAAAAATTAGTAATCATCCCTATTACAAGCAAAGCTAGGGGCTGGACACTAAACTTGTATAAATTACACTGGTCGGAGAGGAGCTCGATGGCGCAAGTGGTTAGTGCGTTCGGCTACGATCGTTGCAGTTAAGCAACTTTCGCAATGGTCGGTCATTGGATGGATGACCAAAAATTTACTATATCGAGTTCCTCTGTACTTTGGAAGGCACGTTAAGGCGTTGGTCCCGGCTGCATCTGCAGTCGTTAGCACCCACCAATACGCACTGGGCCCGCGTGGTGCGTCATGGCCTAATCTCCCCATTCCATCCATTGGGAAGGCCTGTGCTCCAGCAGTGGGGACATTAATAGGCTGATGATGATAGTTAAAATTCACCTGGCACGTCTAATTTCGACGCAAAAGCAATTTTTATTTTTTGAAAAAATTTGGCCACAGCAATGAACAGGGCTGGAGTAATTCAAATATCTATAAACTGAATTTTCTCATAAAAGCGACGCGAAAAAGGGGGTATATTTATTGTCTCCAAAATAAGAGAAATCTTTAAAGATCAACTGTTCAAATCAAAGTTGTAAGTAAAATAAAGAATTACATGTGTGGCTTTTGAAAATGCGTGTCGCAATTTTCTTGGCAATAAAAAGGCTGAAAATTACACAAAGATGATAGAAGAACTGCTGTCGTCGTATCATCAACTTAAATGTAATATGAATCACTTCTTGCACTCGTATTTAAATTTGTCCTGCTAATCTTGTTTCCATGTCTGATGAGCATGGTGAAAGATAGCACCAAGACATTGCATATATGGAAAAAAGATACAGTGGCAAGTGGACCTCAGCAATACTAGCTGATTTTGGCTGGAAAATTAATCAAGAAACAGCAGTGAAAATGTACGAAAGAAAGTAATCTACCAATCATCACCATTTTGTAAGTTTTTAATTATTTTTGAATTCATATTTAATTTTTATTTGTGTTCTAAAAGTCACCAATCAGTAAATATTTCTTTCTAAAATAATATACATACATAAATACCGGTATTTTATTTAAATGTAAATATCTGAAAAACTAGATGTGATAACTGAAATCTGTAAACAGATTTAGACTTATAAAATCAAAGCCAATAAAATTTACATAGTAAGCTTTTCTCCTGGTTTTTTTTTTGTGTTTGTCGACCAGTGTTATTTAAACTAAGTTCACATTATGCTCTTATCACCATGCTCTATTTATGTCACCACTGTGGTAGATAAATAAATATAGGTATTATATACAATAATAATACCTATATAATGAGTTTTGTTACATTTAATTCACCAATAAGAGTTTGATGGTCCAAATATAACTAATTAATATCGTCATTTGGGTCTTAAGGTTTAAAAGTTCATAGTCTAATAGACGGTGAGAGGTCGACCTTCATGGATCTGATAACTTGATGAGACAAATTTTTTATCAAATATGTCTATAATGACTTGCCTGTCAAAAAGTATTCATAGCTATTTTTAATTTAATTAATTTTAATAAATTTTCTTTCATCACCTTCACTCTTTTGATAACCAAAATGAGCTTTATCTCAACTGATAGTTTTTCACAGAATATGCCAAGGTAGGCTTGCCTACTTATTTCTGTGCATGGGCTACCTGGCAAGCAGATGTGAATAGGTAAGGAAATATAGGTAACTACACCGATCTGTTAACCAATCGAAATTTATATCAAAGGTGAGATATTTTAATTACAAAACCAATCATATAGGCTTGCCTGCAAAAAATCGTGCACAAATTATTATTGGCAAGCTATAAAGTTTTAGAATTTTAGCTATTCTGATAGGAGCGAGAGAATAGAATAATAAATAGAATTTATTATAACTCTGATTTCAATCTCAATGTTGTATTATTTCACATTATATATAGTTACAGCTTTGAAATAATCAAAAATAAATAATTTAATATTTATATTTAATTTATTATTAATTAATAAAATAAAAAATCTACATTTTTTTTTTCATTCTAAAGCTAAATTATAAATAAATCTAAATTCTTTATTTAAAATTAATTACAAATAATAATAGAAAAGGCAGTACTGTTCGGCACAGCGCGCATAGTCAGGCGGTTTGTTTCTCTGCGGCCCTAACCACCGGTAGCTTGGACCTAGCCTTCTGAGATTATGTTTTTAATATAGTATATATATTTATTTTTGTATTTTACTTTTAAATCTATTTTATAAAAAACATAACTGTTAATTAAAATAAATGAGAGAATAATAATAGAAGTAATCGACGGATTTTCTATTTGTACTTGATTGGAGCCTCAATGCCACAAACTTTTGGAAAATTGCTGAATCGATACTGATAAAAATTTGTTCGACGAAAGCCGCACATGTGCATTTAATTTTTGATCGTTATATGTCGCTATCAATAAAATATAAAGAATGTCAAAATCGCCAAGAGATTGACGTTCCATTTAATATTTCTGGACCTCAACAAAACAGGCCTTCAGATTTTTTACAGTTTAAAAAAATACCGATTCAAAGAAGCCTTGGCCCAGTTTTTATCTGTCTATTGGGAAAATGATAATGTGGTTATATTTTTGGATTTTTTAAGTATTAAAATGCTCGATGTTCAAATCTAAAGATTTTTTTTTTATTTATTTAGCAAAAATTCCACGCGTCCAGGCATCAGAGGGGATTCGAACACGCACCCTTCGCTATCCGGGAGAATTCACTGACCATTATGCTACCACGGCCCTGACGGCCGTGTCGAATTTGTCATTCGATTTTGATGCGCTTCATAAGAGTAATTTAAACAGTCATTTTTTTTTATTTGCAATAATTGTAACTAAATTATCACTGTTGTTACTCCTATGAAGGGCATCAAAATAGAATGAAAAAAAAAAAAAAAAACGAAGAAGTTGAAACGAAATGCATCCAGAGTAACACCAGAATCAAAGATTTTTGACGACGTAATGATTATTTTGCTTGGAAACATACATAAATTGGAACAATCAGAAGTTTGGATAGCAAGTTCAACAAATATAAAAAAACAAAAGACTTCGATTGCATTAATTGCACGTAATTGGCCAAAAAATTAGGAACCACATTATGCCGAAGCCTACCAGCTTTTCATGCATATACTGGTTGTGACAGCCACAGCGGCATTTTATCAGAAAGGTAAAGTCGGCCATTAAAACTGTTCTCTAAAAATAAATTATACCAAAACATATTTGCGTCATTACTAGATGAAGCTGATATTTTCATCCATGAAAAAATGCAGGCCATTCAGGAGTTTACCTCTCATAATGTATGGTATAAAAAATTGCACTAGTGTGAATCACGCCAGGTATCGCGTTTTTATGAAAAGTTATTCCGCAAAAGATAATGAGCACTTTTGGAAAAAGTAAAAAGTTATGATTCCAACAATTTGCCACCATGCTAGTCTTCTTTAACCCCAAAAATTTTACGAACGACTTATGTCAATTCTATGTGGCTTCATGCGACTGATAAAGATGCTTAACCGGGCGTTCGCACAGTTGGGTCTGTTTGACCCGAGCAGTTTTCAAATGAGCGTGTTTCTTAAAATGTTTGTGCGACTTTGCCAAACTTCTCAGTAGCTGGGGCTAATGATCCCCCCTCCACGTGGGATATCGCCATTCAGTCGTGTTGCGGCCCCAGCGAGTGATAGACACGGCCAAACACGAAAAAGGTAAATATGACCCAACCATACTATTCGTGTCGTAATTTTGCGCCGTTTAAACAATTTTTTTTTGTTGTTTTATATTGTTTATTTTGTTATTTTTGGCATGCTAAATATGTCTGGAATAAATGCGTACATAATACATAACAAGAATAACAACACTACGTCAAAGCAACGCCAATTTCTAAAGAAACTTAGCCTTATACTGGTTCGTGAGCATTTGCGCAATCGTAAAGATGTCATTCACTTGCCAAGACTTATGCGCAAAAGAATAAGAGAGTTGTTAGGAGTAGGTACCTGATGAGGAGCTACCTGTGAAGATACTTTATGTCAGAAAGAGATGCTAAGATTGTTATGCCAAAAAAGATAGAAAAACTTACAATACTTTTCGGAGCAGTAGCAAATACATCTGCAGTGAGCATACAATGTTGTACTGCCGAGATTGCGCAGATGATAAGGATACTATGACTGACGTATGAGACTGATACTAATAGTATAATATTATTAGTCTACTAAAGATTTGATTAACATGTAACAAATCAGTTTATGTTATGGAAAAAAGTTTGTTTTGTTAAAATTTTATTACTTTAAGACAGAGGTTGTCCATTTTGTTAATATTTTGTGACACTTTTATGAAAATGACATTAAAAAGATAGTTTCGTATCATGTTGTTTTTTTCTACTCAAAACCTATAACAATAATCGTTTTATACAGATAGTACAACCACAAACCAAATTTATTTGAACTTTTGTAATTATGGCGTTTTCTTATACGGGTCCTCTCGACCCAACCCTACTGTCGCTGTTGCATATTTTGACTGTGCTGACGCCGGGTTAAAATTGCACCCTGAGTACTGTGGTTGGCTCTTAGACGATGATTTTTTTTATTATCCGATGATTCCGTTGCTGTATCATAAAAAATATAATAAATATTTCAATTCAATTTTTTTATTTTTTATATGCTTTGTGATTAATTAAAAAAAAATATATTTATTATATATTATAAGCTTTCGAATGAACATTTTTTTTTAAATTATTTATTAAAATATTTATTTTTGATTACTTCAAAGCTGTAAGTATATATAGTGTGAAATAATACAACATTGTGATTGAAATCCGAGTTATAATAAATTAGAGTTCTATCGCTCCTATCAGAATAGCTAAAATTCTAAAACTTTATACACTTCTGGACACATCTATTGGCCCACCTTGTATTTTCAGTTTCGTTTGGTCCTAGCTAAAAATTTATATTAGGTCTAGCAAAAAGTTTTTATGCAGTTTTGAACCTGGCACATTCACAATTTCATTCAATAGTCTTTTTTTGAATTTAGAACACAGAATTTAAAGAAACAAAAGACAATTTGGAGCCTGTTTGTTGATATCAAACAATCGAATACTAAGGAAACTTGGTTTTATTGGTTTATTTGGATTTAATTCTTGAAAAAGTGATTGATATCTTTGGTTTTGCAACAAACATTACTTATTCTTAACATTAAGGTGAGGTTCTATCAATAATCTATGGATACTTCACCTGAAGTCGCCTCCCAAGCTGTGGCACTTATTCAGGCGGGACACAGCCAAAGAAACGTGAGTGCTCAACTTAATTTAAGTCGATCTGCGGTCCGAAATGTTTATCGGAGGTACCTAGAGACTGGCAGCTTTGTTTGTCGCCAAGGAAGGCCACGATCTCTGGTCCCAACTGAAAGGCAGGATCGATTCATCGTGACGACCAGCTTGAGAAATCGTCACCTTACCTCCATTGAGATACAAAAACAAATTCGCGACTTCCACGGAGTATCTGTGAGCGCTCGAACTGTTCGGAGAAGGTTAAAAGAACGCGATATGGTACCACACAAGCCAGCTAATGGGCCCAAACTAACGCGAGCCCACCGAACAGCGCGCCTTCATTTCGTATCCCTCAAAATTTCATAGAGCGGTTGATAAACTCTATGCCTAATCGTATGAGAGCTGTGGTAGATGCCCATGGAGGCAACACGCGTTATTAAATTAAACCTTTATTTGATACAACATGTTTTTTTATTCAAAAATCAATTGCCTTTAACAAGGCGCATATCCGACTTGTTAGGCGTAGCTCCATGTCGTATGGTATTCTGAATTCAAATTTAAAACAATACGATCGAAAAAGATTGTAAAATTTATCAGGTTTAAAACTGCATCAATAGGTTTTGTTCAATCTAGCAATCATATTTCGGTAGGGGCCATCGAAACCTAAACTCTGAAGGTGGGCCAATAGCACATCTATTGGCCCACCTCCAGAAGTGTAGCTTGCCAATAATAATTTGTGCACGATTTTTTGCAGGCAAGCCTATATGATTGGTTTTGTAATTAAAATATCTCACCTATGACATAAATTTCGATTGGTTAACAGATCGGTGTAGTTACCTATTCACATCTGCTTGCCAGGTAGCCATGCACAGAAATAAGTAGGCAAGCCTACTTGGCATATTCGGTGTGTTAAAAAATATCAGTTGAGATAAAGCTCATTCGGTTATCAAAAGAGTGAAGGTGATGAAAGAAAATTGATTAAAATTAATTAAATTAAAAATAGCTATGAACACTTTCTGATAGGCAAGTCATTATAGACATATTTGTCTAAAAATTATATTTGATAAAAAATATGTCTCATCCAGTTATCAGATCGGTGAAGATCGATCTTATACGGTCTCCCCTACTATCAGTTAACACACGAACTCAAGCCGGCCGATCATCAACAACGTCATGTCTTTGCTGATTGGGTCCTTGAAATGCATGATGCATGAAAATGATCCGGAATTCCATCGAAAAATCATCTTGAGTGATGAGGCCCATTTCCACCTTGGTGGCTTCGTCAACAAGCAAAATTGTCACATCTTGGGCTCGGAAAACACAATGGTTATTGTTGAAAAGCCTCTCTATCCTCAATGTTGCTTTTTGGTGCGGTTTATGGTCCGGCGCAGTCATTAGACCTTACTTTTTCGAAAATGAGGCTGGAGCTGGACTGCGTTTTCGAGAGATGATTAATGATTTTTTATGGCCGGAATTGGACGGTATTGATCTGGACAACGTTTACCATCAACAAGACGGCGCTACGTACCACACAAGCAACGAAACCATTGATCTTTTACGGGAAATGTTTCCGAATCGTGTTATCTCTCGAAGAGGTGACCACAATTGCCTTGCACCACACCTTGCGACTTCTTCCTTTGGGGCCACGTGAAAGAGAAGGTCTACGCCAACAGCCCAGCGTGGATTCAAGACCTCAAAGATGGAATTCATGAGGCTATCGAGGACATAGGGCAGCCACTTTGTAATTTGGTTATGGAAAATTTCTTGAAAAGGATATGGTCCTGTAAGCATGGTCATGGTGGTCATTTGCCTGATGTTTATTTTCCACTATTAACGGCATACTTTCCTCATTATAATGAACAGAACATCGGATCATTTATATTAAAAAAAAAAAATGTTTTTTGCTTTGAATATCAAAATAACACCTCGTATTGGAAAACCCTATACTTACTTACCAAATTCATTTTATGCTGAACAAGTTCATCATAGGTAGGAATTGCTTGGTGTAAATCTGAAAATCAATGAGATTATCAAATATTAGAAAAACTTCTCAATAATAGGAAAAAGTATATTCATAATTTATTTTCAGTTGTTACCATACCATATTTTCCCCACGGTTATGTGAGACAGGGATAACTATTTTTTTCATCATACTAAACTAGGTAAACATTAATAATCCCATATATTGGGTTGGATATGCGAAAGTGAGTTTGATACGCATCTATATATTACTCATCTTAATCGATTCACTGGCTTAGATGTATGGATATTTATAAGCATTAATTTTAATAATTAATTTAGTCTTAAATGAAAATGATTTCTTACCAATTTGGTTTTTGAAGATTTTCAACCAAAAAGCTCGTCATCCAAAATGGCAGCAAATTCTCTATAAAAAGGTACAAGTTGTTCATTATATAATCTTAACTCCAATAATAAGTATTAATAAGTTGTTTAAAAATCAGTAAAATATATTTTCATCAAAAAATATTGTGATATATGCTTGTAAAGACATCATCTTGAGAAATTTCATTACTTACTTTTATTTACAACCCATAATGGCATAACCATAAAAGTTGTTTAGATTTGATTTTTAAGAATTTTTTTTTTTTTTACATAAAAAAAAAACATCTATGTTTAAATAAATGATTTCTTACCATAATAAGATCTCTTTAATCAGTCAGGGTAGGTTTAGCTCCTGAAAAAGTAAAAATGTTTTTAATGATCTACTTTGAATTTGTCAAGATGTTTTTCTTAAATAATATAATACTATACAGGATGGCTGGAACATTGACGTCCAAAAATAAAAATTAGGTCGAAGGGTATCCGAATCACACCAAAAAAATGTTTAAATCAAATCAGCCTTTCATAAGTTTTCCACCTCGCTCTTTGAAGCCCGATTTTAGCGAAAGTAGCCCCCCTTAATTACTACTTAGGAACCATGAAGTCATCTGTTTAGTTTTTTTAATTTAAAGTTGAAAATTCGAAGTCATAATTCACCAAACGTAAATATTACTTTGGATCAACATTTTCATAACTTTCATCAAAGTTACAAAGCTAATAATTTTATGCATACACACATTATGTCACACATGAGTACAACTCATGAGGATTTAGTTGCAAAAAAAATACGAAATATTCTTCCACTTTTTGTTTTGAATTTTTTAAGTTTGTCCGTTCGAAAATTCAGAAAAAATCATAATACGAAAACTATAAAAAGTCGCGGAACATACATGGGGGTGATTCGGATACCCCACGATACGAGGGCCCTAAATTTGTTTGTTTTGGACGTCTATGTTCCGGCCACCTGTATAACTTCAGATACTATCAATCAACAGGTATTCAGATAGGGGCGATACATTAGTTCATCATCAAATAAATTCTGTGAAATGCATAATAATGATAAACAAATGTGCTTACCTTTCGTTATACCTAATATAAGAAGCGGAATTTCTTTTAAATAATCCTGCATAAAGTTATAGTGTGTCCTGAAACATAACAAGTAAATCATTTAAAAATGAAACTTGTGAAAATTTAAAAGAAATAACATTATCATAGGCTCAGTGTTTATCAATCAACAGCTATTCAGATAGGGGCGATACGTTAGTTCATCAATCAAAAACATTCTGTGAAATGCATAAAAAAGGATAAACAAATGTGCTTACCTTTCATTATAATATAAGAAGCGTAATTTCTTTAAAATTATCCTGCATATAGTTATACTGTGTCCTGAAACATTAAAAGGAAATCATTTAAAAATAATACTTGTGAAAATTTAAAAGAAATAACGATATCGTAGGCTCAGTGTTTATCAATCAACAGCTATTCAGATAGGGGCGATACATTAGTTCATCAAATAAATTATGTGAAAATTAATAGAATGATAAGATAGAGCAAATGTGCTTACCTCATAGCATATGTATATGCAGAATGACTCAAAACTATTCCTGCATGAAGTTATGTTGTGTCCTGAAATATAACAAGAAACCTGTTTAAAAATGAGTACTTGTAGAAATTACTAAGAAACAACATTATTGTAGGCTCAGTGTTTATCAATCAACAGCTATTCAGATAGGGGCGATACTTCTATTCATCATTATCATCAGGGGTAATAACGAAACTACTTTACTACAAAAGCATTATCTTACCTAGTACAACAAGAAGCATGGAAAAACCTGAAACAAAAGATAGGAATGTTAAAATTTATATAGCAGAAGAAACCTAATCATATTAGAATTGATTTATTGAATCAGTTGTTACCATACCATATTTATCCCCATGGTTTAGTGAGACAGGGATAACTAAAGATATTCATCATTACAAAATCAAATGTTTTCAAGAAGTAATAATTCATTAGTTTGTTATGATAAAAATTCAGTGACTAACCTTGAGCATCTTACATGAAATCACTATTCATGAGCACGGGTGTGGTTGCGGCAAGTTTTTCCAACAAGCCTGTAGAATCTAAAATGAAAAACGGATATTTAACTAGTCATTTTTGAGGATTAACAATATTGTGTAGGTTAATAATATCAGTAAAAAGTTATCATTCAGAGCAATTATGATATATTTTTGTTTTTATTTATTTTTAAGCATTTAACTGCTAGATGTTTAAATCTAAAGAAAAGTTTACTAGAAAAAAATCCACGCGGACCAATCAGCGGACGGGACTCGAACCCGCATCCTTGGCTATACGGGCGAATGCACTGACCATTATGCTACCACGGCCCTATTCGCCGCGTCGAAATTTTCCTAGCCTTAAGGCGTTTAGCAGACGACGGGGCGGGGCGGGCCGGTCAATTTCGCCGCGAATAATAGCACAAAGTGAATCCTATACTTCAAACGCACACGGAGGGCAAAAAGACCGCGCCGCAGGTGCCCGGCGGGCAATGGCGGCGCGGCATGTCCGCGGCTGCCCGCCGTGGATCAAACAAACCAGTTTATATGCAATAACGCAGAGGGCGGCGCGGGGCGGTCAGCTAAGTCCGCGCCACGCGCTTTTTCTATTCACTAGAACGAACGTCCCGTACTGACCGCCTCTGCCCGTCGTGTGCTTTGTGTACGCGGCGCGGGCAGCCGCAGTGTCCGTGATGCTAGCGTACCCACGATCAATATACGGTTTTTCGTTATGCCAATAAATACTGCGTAAATAGTGCCATATTAGTGTAAAAATAAAAAAAATAGTGCTTCTTTAATTTAAGAAATAAAGACCATTTTTACTGTGTACGCTACCATGACGTCAAGCTAGCGTACCCATGGCCGACCCCAAGAACGGCATATATTTAAAAGCAACGAAATTGACACCCAAAAATAGTTCGCAAATAGTGCCCTGGGTTTACAAAATTTCATAATCAATACTCTTAAAGGACCAAAGATATTGAACTAAACATTCTTAGCTGGCGTCAACCTGGCGTTGACGCCAGACGTAGAAAATGAACTTTTCTCGTTATCAATTCTATATGTATAAATAGTGTGTCAAATAGTGCCTCTAACAGTAAAAGTATTTTATGTTAATTCGCAGTACTACTACTTTTTCAAGTATTAAACATTTGAAAGAAGAAATAGCAATTATATTAGAAATTCTAGCTTCATCTAGAAGTTAAATGCTTAAAAAATAAATAAAAACAAAACTATAATTGCTATTTCTTCTTTCAAATGTTTAATACTTGAAAAAGTATTCATTTGACATTGTGGGTTACCTACAATGCGAAGAGATGGCGCTGCCTTGCAGGTTAAGGCTAGGAAAATTTCGACGCGGCGAATAGGGCTGTGGTAGCATAATGGTCAGTGCATTCGCTAGGATAGCGAAGGATGCGGGTTCGAGTCCCGTCCGCTGCCTGGTCCGCGTGGATTTTTTTCTAGTAAATTATGATATATGTTTGTAAATAGCATCATTTGAATTGAATAATGTTAGTGTTTTGGTTTTGCTTATGATCAATTTTCATCAAACCATCCCATAAGACATGAAATAAACATTGTTTATGATTAAATAGAGTAGACAGAGGTGTTGATTCTGGCATGATTCTATAAACCTTAAATGAAATTTGACAACATGTGTGTCCTCAACATTCTCTTTACAGAATGAAAGGAGAGGCTTAAGTTAAATTAAGTAGGTATAAGACTTTTAAGTTTAGAGAATCATGCCAGAATCGATACAATTGTTGGATTAGGTTAGGTAAGTGTAAATAAATACCTTTGAATTAATTGATTCTTCATAATTTCGAGCTTTTTTCATTCCTGTGAAAAATATAACTCAATTTTAAATTTATCTAGATAATGTGAGTATTTTATAAGAATTTAAATAACATGAATCAGAAATTATCAATCAACATGTTTTCAGACAGGGGCGATACTTTTAAACATCATTGTAATGACTTAAATGTTTAAAAAATAAGAAATAATCAAGTGTAAATAATATTTTATGTAATTATTACATACCTGTAATTATGGTGATGAAATTTGTTTATGCATGTGTTTAAGTTATGACGCTGTCGAGATAGTAGGGTTGTTCCCTATTCATTCTATGTTGTCCCATCCCATTTTCGAACAAACGGGTGACTTTATGAAGGTCTTCAGTGACCGACCATATGTGTATTGCTACACACTCAACATAATTATGGTTAATTACCAGTGCCTATGCATTGTTCTTTCAAATTCTGTAAATAATAAAATCATATTAATATTGCAAATGAATTGCATCTATGACATTCAAGTATTTGGTAAAGTAATACTTGAATTGTTACACTCTAACCCTTGGAAATGATGTTATACTGAACTACTTTTCCTACACAGAGTGTTACGATGTTCCTATCCAGAGTCAAGCATGGCAGTAATTATCTGCACACACATCGGCTTTGGTAGGGTTTCAAGACATTGCTCAAATGACTTACAATAAATGTAGACATGCAAACGTATGATTTATTACATTAAAAATATCTTACCTTTTTTTCACAACCATACATATTATAATTACTTCAGAATCTGCAAAAATAAAAATTATAGTTACCATAACTGTAATTCAATTTTGTTACATAAAAGAACAACTGATGCTAATCATTAATATTATTACTAATCTTTATAATATTTAGTAAAAACAAATGTCACATCATTAACCCTTGGAACTTCTGCTATTAAAACAGATTTCCTACACATAATGTGATACTGTTCCTATCCAGAGTCAAGCATGGCAGTAATTATCTGCACACACATCGGCTTTAGTAGGGTTCAAAAGTGAATTAATAAAACAAAGACAAGTTACCTATAAAATTTTGTGGGCTTTAATTGGTTCTCCATCTTTGAATTGGAGTAGTCTTTATTTGCACCTACATGCACAGTAATTTCCTATAACTAACAAAGTAAACAGAATTTTATTTATTATGTTAAGAAACACAAGATAACAGATATGTCAAAATATAATATCAGTTTAGTGGTAATTTTGAAATCACAGAATTTTCATCCGAACGAGACTATAAAACAAAAATCATCATTAAAAATTATGTTTATATACTTTTTTTTTATAATTTTTAGGGAAATAGTATAACTGTTTACTTACTCAGTGATGACAGAATTTAAAATTAGTATTCAGTTCCAGAAATCTGTAGACAAAGAAATAAATTCTAGTCAATATCAGTTCAGCCTCAAAATTGTTTAATTTTTTTTTTCTTTTAATCAGTATAGTGGTAAGATTGATATCAATAAAATTCATCCGAACGAGACTAAGTATAAATTCATCACTAGAATAAATCTTTTCCATTAAATACATTCAATAAATATTTAAATAAACATGCTTACCCAAGCTCATTGGTACACAACCATAGCTGAAACAGAAAAAACATTGAGTAAGGAAAACAATATATTATTTATATTACAATTTGAAAACTCACCTATATCCATATTTAGTTTATAAGATTGTAACAATAATTAACAAGAACAAAATATTAGCTAAAAGTAATTCTTTATTCAATGTCCTTAGATACTAGCACTGTAACTTGCAGACACGAATGATTTACTTCTTAGCTGGCTTTTTAGAGACCGCTTTCTTCGTGCGTGGCTTCTTGGCGGCAGTTTTAGGGACCTTCTTCTTACCAAATGTACCGGCACGTGCCGCCTTCACTTTCATGCTCTTGAACACCGCAGTTCTAGCACGGTTTCTCTTTACACGTGCAGCTGTTAGCTTGAACCTGTCGTAGTCTGTCATCTGGGCGCGCTTCTCTTTGTTAGCAAGTTTCTGTGCCCACTGACTCTCAGCCCATTTCTCATTAAGTTGGGCGTCTGTCCATGCCTTCCTCACGACACGTGTGGGCGCTGTGAATGGGTACTTCAGACGAAATTTGGTAAGGTGCAGTTGATTCAGACGGATTTGTTGTCTGGCAACGCCACTGCCGGGTCCATCAACAAGCGCGCGAGTCTGATCAATCACATCGACAACACTCACCAATTTTCCCTTCAGAGGGCCTTCGGCAACTAGGGCAACGCGCCCGGGTTCAACAAATCTCGCGAATGGCATGACGTTCTGAAATCAATTTATTAGGTACTTTATATAAAGTTTTATACAATAACGAAGAGGATATAACACTAAAGATATAAGAATCGTGTAAATAACACGGAACACCGACTATCAACAATGTGTAAACATAAAAGGATGTGTAAATTAAAAACGAAAATATATTATTTCACCAACAGAACACCATAAAATATAACACTAGAACTAATAAGCCTTCCTAAATAGTGGACTATTATGGGGATTTCAATAGATTAAAACTTATTCTAACCTCACAACGTCGCTTCAATGACAAAAAGACTCACGAAAAGAATTTCTCTCTGCTAGTCATGTATGTCATTGTCATTTTGACAATGACATAGTCTTGCACTGTGGACATAGTGATATGACAGTAAAGCCGAATTTACACAGAGTAAGTAACTGACTCCGAATTTGAGGCAAGTCAGTGCTAACCCGCTACTGACATAGAGTAAATTGATTTGGAGTCAGTGTAGCACTGGTAGTTTTCCAATTACAGCATTATGGCGCATTATGCGGCATAATGCTTAACGTTGAGTGTTTCAACTACAGCAACGCTTCGCGCAATCGAGCACTCTCAAAAGTAATGCTTTCGTGTGATGTGTGCAATCGTACCAACTCAGTGACAGAAAATTAACAAGTGTTTTTTTTTTAAGTTGGCATTGATCGAAATGTTTTATTTATATGTTATCGTAAGTAATATTATTTATTGTTGAAATATGATTAAAGCTTTCGTTTCATTAAATAGTTTTTTTAAACAATCAAAGTTCATTCAAACTGTTAAAAAAATGGGTGCGTGAACTTATGTAGGCGCGTGAGAAGTTATCCTTCTTTGGCATCGTTTAAAATTAGTTTTTAATTGCATGCAAATAATTAATTACAATAAATTAATAAAAAGTCTGGAAAAGGACACAGTCAATAAAGTTCAGTTTTAATTTGAAAAAATAAATAAATAATCAAAATATTCAATTAAAATCGCTACTGAATATAATTTATTAGAACATAATATGTGATTTGCACTTGTATGAAACTCAAACACGTATTCCGAATATACAAACTAAAAACATGTGGATAAATATTATAAATATGAATACCTATAACTGTTACTTTATTACAATAATAACATAAAAGTAACATTGAAAAATAAAGATGTGGTTTTTGGTTCTACTACACCAATGGTCAAGAGATGGCGCTGTAGTCTCCTGAATCGCGCTTTGGTTCCGTTGTTCCAGATTAATAAATACTTTTGATAGGCCTTCACAATGCAGTCGTTAGCACCCACTAAATAAAGATTCTATTTCTATTTTGTTGGTAGATTTTCTTAATGTGCGGTAAACACAAAAGAAACAGCATGAAGTTCTTCATGCTGTTAATTTTTTGTGTTACAGTGATGCGCGCGCATCTTAAAATTTCACTCTCATCAATTTTTCATAACGCGCCTAAAGAAGTATAACTTCAAAAAATAAATATAAGTATGGATGAAGGTACAAACATTGACTTATTTTTTCAACACTGAACTTAGCGCACTCTGCTGGTGCATTTGAAAACTAATTCACATTCCAATTATGCATCAGCCTTAATGGCAGAACTACATTTATTTAATGTGTTGTGTTGTGACGCACCAGAGAGCTTTTTTGTTTATACATTTAATATGGTTAGGGTGAGAAAGGTATCGTCACATCATATCACATCATGACACACAAGTATAGTTCTAACCGTACTAAATGTAAGAAACCGACGCGTTGGATCGCGTCACAACATAACATATAAGATAAATATAGTTCTGCCTTAATATAGTGTCGTAAGCTGTGTTGCCATATTCTGAACTAAAAAATCTGAAGCGTAAGTGTAAAATTCAGTATAGAATGTGTATGCATGCTTGAATTTAAATCCAATTGATTTGCGATAGTTTCATGAATAGCTAAACTATTAAGTAAAAGAAAGCTCATTAATTAAATGCATTCATAAGTAATTAAGAATATTTTTGCTCATTGAATTCGCAAATTGACTCACATGTTATTACTTTACTTTTACTACCTACTTTTTACTCGTTTTAAATCACCAATTCGCTATAGAACTAAAATGAACATAGTAACAAATGATGAACAATCCACAGAACAAACTTATTACAAAATATAATCTGTAATCTAAGCGTACCGGCTACGAGACGTTGTTATATTACTGAGAAAAAAAGACGACGAAATATATAGGTTTCTGTTGGCAACTTTCGTCTTCGGGTTCGAACGAAGTTCGGCTCGTATTTATTATAGACATAGTTATCATATGGACTAAGGCAGAGGTTTGACAGCCTGAATGACGAATGGAACTGTTTAGCCACAGTCACACACAGCAAATACTCGCTGCGAATAAAGGTGGGACTCGCTGCGAATAAAGGTGGGACTCGCTGCGAATGCCTACTCCCCGCAGCTATTCGCTGTATGTGGCAGGCTATTCGCTGCAAATAGATTCACTCGCCGCGAATTGAATTCGCTGCGAGTTGAATTGAGCATGTTCATTTTTACTCGCAGCGAATAGCTACAGTGTTGCCATATATGCAGATTAATTTGTATTTATACAGATTTTAGTCTACCGTACCGATACAGGTGTCAGATTTTACTGTACGATTTATACACATGTTTTAAATATGATTATGGATTCAATATTTAAAGGCTTTAGTTGGGTTTGAAATGTCTTGTCATGACAACATTAACGAAACGGAGTTAAGGTATGCTCGGTATGGAAATTCGCTGTGACTTAAATCCAAAGAATTACATCGAAAGCATGGTAAAAACGGCCTCACGCAAACTCGAAGTCCGAACGAGGTGTGGCGCTTTTTCACGCCCGAGCAACTGTGCTTGTTGTATAAAACGCAGGTGCGGTGTTGCGTGGAATATTGCTCGCACCTCTGGGATGGCTCCGCCAAGTACTTGCTCGATGCTTTGGATAGGTTACAGCGGCGTGCGATCCGCATCATAGGCGATAAGGACGTGACTAAATACCTCGAGCCTCTTCAATTACGCCGTGACGTGGCGTCACTAAACGAGTGCTATTGTCTGTACCACGGCGAGTGTTCTGAAGAGTTATTCTCTCTTATTCCACCTTCCCCTTCTTCGGTGTCACCGTCTAACAATCCCAACGTGTACAAAGAAATTCGGTGACTCATTTCTTTGTCGCACTATCCGTAAATGGAATGCTCTGCCTACTCACGTGTTCGCTCCCTCCTTCTTACAACCTGGGATCCTTTAAAAGAGACGTGAAGAAGCATCATGCAGGCCGGCAAGGTGAGGATGGCTGGTGTGGCAGGTAGAACTGCTGTACCAGCTATCTTCACGTCTGGACTTCACCATCAGTTAACATCAGGTGGGGTGGAGTCATTTGTTGGACCTATCCATAAAAATAAGGATTTCCCAAGATATCTTTCGAATGTTTGAATTCCTATTTGATAATCAAGAAATTGTTAAAACATAGAAAATTCATATTGGTGTCGATTCTGGCGTGATTCTCTAAACTTAAAACTAAGTTTATAATCTCACTGTCCTTTTTATTCTGTATAGAGAATGACAAGGATAAACTGTTGTCAAATTTAATTTTAGATTTAGAGATACACGCCAGAATCGACACGATTGTATCTTGTAAAAAGGCAATCGAAATCAAATTTTACTTAAAATTAATTGTGAAAATAGTTACTTAATTAAAATACATAACGAAATAAGTTTATAACATTTCGAAATGTACTTGAAGTAAATCTTTTATCTGGGTAATACATCATCACGAGTTGATATCAAATTGAAAACTATTTTATTTTTATATCGCTAATCCAAATTACAATATGAATTTTTGTCGCCTCTCTAGATACACCCGGTACCATGAAGTTATAGGTTTATACTATAACTTCATGCCCGGTACATGCTCATTGACAGCGACACACTCGGAATAATGCCAAATTTTTTGTGAAATGCACCGTCCATATGATACTATGTCTCGGGTATTTATTTACTCACAAAGATGTTAACCCTTTTTCAAGACATCTGCCCCTCTAGTATGACCACCGAAACGGGATATGCTATAGCTTTTTATCGATTCTCAACTGTCAAACTCCACTGTAGTCTGACAGTTATTGCCGATATATCGCTTTATCATATCCCGTTTCGGTGGTCATGCTAGAGGGGCTGGTATCCAACCAGCCACGAAGTTACTGAATCCATAAACATAATCATATCGAAAAAATCAAAGGCAACACAGATTGTATTTTTTCAACATTTGACCTTTCGGGGAAGGCAAAGGAAACAAGGCACATACAGCCTAGTGAAAAAATGTGTACCATGGACGTATTGTTTAAACAGGATTGATGTCTGTTACCTATGAAACGGGACAAGTGAGATATAGAACTGAGGCCTATGACCTCTTTCTCTTTGTGGTACATGTTTTCATTTTTGTTAATGGTTTGTCAGGAGTTCAAACGATAGACTTGTTCAAACTTTTTAATAAAAAAAATCGTGGGTGTAGTGGTACACGTGTTGGAACGAAGTGAAAAATATTTATATACCTCCCGCCAATCCGCACTCGTCCCACCCGCGTGACGAGTCATGGCTCAATGTCCCTATTCCGTTAAAAAGAACTAGCTTTAGCCCAGTGTGGATTAGGCCCGGTGCTGAATTGGGCATACTGCGGATTGGGTCCAGTACTGATTGGGCTTGGGTGGATTGGACCCAGTGCCCTCCCTGATTCATCTCAATATCTCCCTATTCCATTAAAAAAGTATTCTTCCCACCAATTCGTACTGGGGCTGCGTCATGTGTTTTGGCCCGATCTCCCGATTCCGTCAACACAGCCTCCGCCTGATAGAGTAAATAAATGGCAGTATTTGAATCGAAACTTTGTTTTATTTCTTTATATAATATTACACATGACTTCATTATTATAGATATTTTATCGAGATAAAAGAATAACGTTCTTGATTGTCATTAAGACGTTGGCATGTATTCTCTATACATGTTACTTCTTGAGTTTTCCTGTTGTCGTGCTGGCTGAATACCAACACTCCTCACGACGGCAGTGTATTAACAGACTCCTGCAATCACCTGTTATTCTATTTGAGCCCAATGCGTTCTCTCAGCTGAAGGAGGCGTGGTCCTGGCAAACCTTTGGTCATCGGGTCAGCTTCATTCATATCGGTCCCAATGAACTTCAGTTCAATCTTCTTCTCAAGAACACAGTCTCTTATGAAATGAGCCTTCATGTCGATATGTGTTGACTTTGAGCTCACCATTGGATTTGAACCAAGTTTATTTGCGGCTTGGTTATCGCAGTAGATATTTACAGGTCTTTCTTGCCTTAAGTTTAGGTTTTTCTGTAACAAGCTTAGGTGAATTGCTTCTTTAGCAGCTTCTGTTAAAGAAACATATTCGGCTTCGGCTGTAGATAGCGCCACCGCACGCTGTTTTCTAGATGCCCAACTGATTGCAGCTCCAGCATATTTAAAACAGTATCCTGAGAATAATTTTCTGTCTTCTTTACAAGCGGCCCAATCAGCGTCAGCCATACCTAACAATTCTTTGTTTGCCTTTTTGTATTGCAGCCCCACATTCTTAGTTCCCTTTAAATATCTAAGAACTCTCTTAGCGCATTTAAAATGTTCATCTCCATAATAGTCATTAAATTTAGAGAGGTAACTTACTGAGAACATTATATCTGGTCTTGTGGCCACCGCAAGATACATTAGCGTACCAATAAGATTTTTGTATGGTTATAGGTTATTTTCCCCCCCTATCTTGGGGTTCCTCATGAGATAGATGCCGGGTTCAATAGGCGTCTTCGTGACCTTGCAATCTGACATTGCAAATGTCTTTAGGACTTTTTCTATATATGCTTCTTGACACAATTTGATACCTTCGTCATTGTATTGAAAATCTATTCCGAGAAGTCTTTTAGGTTTGCCCATGTCTTTGAACTCGAATTGTTCCGATAATTTTGACTTTATTTGTTTTGCTTTCTGGATTTGAATATGCCATCTGTATATCGTCAACGTATATTGTTATGACAGTTTTATCTCCTCCTGTCATTAATATGTACACACATGAATCTGCAAATGATGTTTCGAAACCAATCTTTTTGAGTTCAGTGTCTAATCTTTTAAACCACTGACGTCCCGATTGTTTCAATCCGTAAAGCGCTTTTTCTAGTAAACAGGCTTTTTCACCTTTTATACCTCTCATATCTTCCAGCATATTTCGGGCTTTGTGATATATAGTGAGATCATCTTTGTCGTTTTCATCTATCTGTTACATATTCTTCTAAATAATTGGGAACCTTCATTGTTATTGTTTCATCTAGTTCACCATTTAGATACGCTGTAGTTACGTCTAACTGACATAATTATAAGTCTTCCTCTAACGACATTCCAACAACTGTTCTGATAGTACTTAGCTTTGCGACAGGCGCGAAAGTTTCTTCGTAGTCTACGCCTGGTATTTGTGCTACAAGTCTAGCCTTTTTAATTTCAATATTATCTGGGCCGATTTGCTTTCTCAAAATCATTTTAAATCCAATCGGTCTCATATTGATTTCCTTAGAAACTATTCGCCATGTACCGTTTTTGATGTGAGCTCTGATTTCAGATTTTATAGCGTCGTGATAATTTTCATCATCATTATCATCACATTTGTGTAATTGTTCTTCTATGTATCTGTCCTTCATCAGTTACACATTCGGTGTTTTGGCTATGAACAATTTGTGTATAATCATTCATCCATGTTGGCGGTCTACGTTCTCTTCGAGGTCGAATATCTGTAATGTAATTTTCAACCTCTTCATTTCTAGCTAAATTTTCTTCATCTCTTTTTACATTTACATTATGGTGATTTTCACCATCAAATTGAGGTTAAGTTAAATCATCGTTCGTTCTTGATTCGAATTCTATTTCTTTGACTTCTCTTCTACTTTCTTTGCTTTGTTTCTTATTTTCGATAAGAATTTCTTAATTTTCATTTTTGTTTGAATAATACATGTCATTTATAACCTTCGCGTCTCTGCTAATCATTATGTCATTTTTCTCGGGTATAAAAATCCAATAACTTTTTGAATTTGACGCGTAACCTACGAATACACCCATGAGGGATTTAGGTGTCAGCTTTCCTCGTCGTTTCTTTTGGAGCACAAAAGCTTTGCTTCCAAAGACTTGGAGATGGTTTCCCGATGCTGTTCTCCCCACCCATAGTTCATATGGTGTATTTTGGTTGGACCTTTGAGGATTTTGGTTGGACTTCTATTTACAAGATAATTTACAGTATTTACAGCTTCAGCCCACAGGTATTTAGGCGCGTTTGCATCTATTAGCAAACACCGAGCTTTATCTAGCAGGGACCTATTCTTACGTTTAGAAACGCCGTTTTGTTGAGGCGTGTATGGTGCGGTCAGCCGCCGCTTTATCCCGTTTTCCTTCAGGTACTGATCGAACTCATTGTTTCGGTATTCGGTCCCATTGTCAGACTGTAAATTTTGTATCTTTACGTTGTGACAATTCTCAACTTCTTGTTTGTACTCCTTGAATAGCTTGAATACCTCATTTTTATTTTTCATAAAATATATATAACTATATCTTGTAAAATCATCGATGAATGTGACATAATACTTTGATCCCGCCAACGTTTCTGTTTCGAACGGGCCACAGATATCAGTGTGTATTATTTTTAAAGGTTGGGTGCTATTCACAGAGTCATTTCTGGGAAATGGTAGTCGTGTCAACTTGCCTTTAATGCACGTTTCACAAGTTTTCAGCTTATCACCCTTGAAAGTAAGTCCTCGTAACTTTTCATCTTTTGCCATTTGTCTCTATCATTGATGTGACCTAGCTTCTTGTGCCATGTCATCATCTCCGATTCGATTGTTACCGACTGTGCTTTATCTTTGGGTTCACTGCTTTTAATGTAGTTGTAATCGGTTCGCTGTGCTTGAAGAAATAGTTCACCGTCAGGTTCTACAACATATATTCTTTGTCTTTTTCAAATATGACTTTGTGGCCTCTGTCGATAATTTTTCCCAATTGAAAGTAAATTTGAAGTAAGATTTGGCACGTACAAGGTATCCTTTAGATCACATAAATATTTGTTTAGGCATACCTGTGCAAATCATTTACCTTTGACTGGCGCTTGGTCAGTCGCGTTTGGTCATTTGAAGCCAATTTTACGTAACTATTATCTTCGGAAATATTTACGAAATTTTGTTTATCATTTGTCATATGTGACGTACAACCACTGTCTAAACACCAAGACATCTTTGACATATTTACATTATTTACATTGAGACAGGTGTAGAAACTTTTTCGTTGTTCTTTCTTGTCTTTGTCGGTCTTGTTGCTTGAAACCTTCGAACTAGTTTTGGTATGTTTTTTCTTGGACCAACAAGATACTGTATTATGAGAATTTTTCTTGCAATATGTACAGAATTTGTTTTTCTTTGTGTAGAAAGCTTCAGATTTATTTTCAGACTCTGATTGCTCAACACATTGTCGCGCCTGAGATTCTTCAAAAATTTTTATTTTCAAATCTTCGGGGCTTGGCAATGAATCTCTTGACTCGATAGCTATGCGAAAATTTTCATAAGAATTTGGCAAACTATACAATATCATTACACTGAGCAACTCTTTAGATATTTTGATGTCCATATCTTCGAGTTTATCTACTATGTCCACGAAATCGTTTAAATGGTCATGTATGTCTTCCCCTTGGGTCATTCTTTTAAGTACTAACTGTTTCAACAGTGTTGCTTTTCGCGCTGGTCCGGTACTCTGGTAGGTAGCTTTTAGCTTGTCCCATACCGCCTTTGATGTTATGCAGCCTTTGATTTGCTTGAGTTCGGACGAGGATAGCAACAAGATAATTTCGGCTTTGGCCTTCAAAGCTTCTTTGTTGAATGCTGTCCTGACTGCTTCATCAGCATTTGGCTGTAGAGTTTTCGCACCACTCACAATGTCCCATAGGTCGTTCTTTATGAGAACTGCTTGTGCTTGTATGCACCAGGTATCATAATTTGATTTTGTTAAAGTTTCGATATTTACACGGCTGTTTGCAGCTGCTGCCATTTTAGCTTTATATTTACACTACCCTACTATACGTACATGAAATTTTAGTTACGTGAATCTACCTGACTTTTGTGTTTATTTACACACTAGAGCGTTCTGCTACCACTTGATAGAGTAAATAAATGGCAGTATTTGAATCGAAACTTTGTTTTATTTCTTTATACAATATTACACATGACTTCATTATTATAGCTATTTTATCAAGATAAAAGAATAACGTTCTTGACTGTCATCAAGACGTTGGCATGTATTCTCTTTACATGTTACTTCTTGAGTTTTCCTGTTGTCGTGCTGGCTGAATATCAACACCGCCGTCAGTGGTCGCCCATCTAGGTATCCACCTAGCTGCCTCGCTAGTTTGGCATTATCCGCCATACGAAACTTCGTTCTAATAGATATCTTTATAAACTAAAAGTATGAGTGCTAAAAACTATTCGCTTGCATTGCAAGCGAATATATCTGAATTCCTGATCAGGAAACCGAATAAAGGAATTATACACGCGCCCAGCTTCCTGCGCCAATTTAATAACCAAACATATTATCAAAATAGTTTTATCCCATCAGTTAGCAAAACTGTTCGGTCACGCCCCTAATCGGTTAGCAAAAAATGTTATCGTGTCAGCAAATACGAAAATACAGCACAGGTGACCCGGATTAACATGGGCCTAGGTTTGTTACGGTTTCTGAACTTTGAATGCGTTCACAGACCACAATTATTGAATACGTTGCTAGGAAACCAAAAGTGAAAACTTTGATTGTGTATTGAAATAAGTTCTAAATAACGTGCACAAAGCCCTTCCACAGCCAAAACAGTGTTAAAAACAATAAACAAGCCATATAAAACTAGACAAGAAATTTTGGACACATTCACCAGATATTGGCCAAATCCTGAACACTGAAGTCATCTGAATAACGTGATAAAATGCGTCTCAGATATTCTAAAACATTATTGGAAACCCAGGTTGTATTATTATTTAATTATTACTTTATACAACTGCAAAAAAATATTAAAATAATAATTTATTTTGATGATAAAATAAGTATATATTTTTTTACGAAAACGCGGCAATGCCCTTGAACTCTCTATTGTACCTTTAAGTAATATCATTGCCTTTAACGTAAACACTGGAATCCGTCAAACCTTCAAGTTTAGTCAAGGTTTAGAAATTTTATTAGGTTCGATTTTCGGTACGGTTAATTATGGTTTGACGACCTTTCGTGGTCGAGTGGTTTATACGCCGGGTTTCATGCTGTCGCCGACTCGAGAGGTCCCGGGTTCGAATCCCGGTGGGGGCAGATGTTTGTGTGATTAATACGAGTATTTGTACTCCAGTCATGGATGTTTAATATGTATTTCTATATAAATATACGCATATATGTACTGTATATGTATTCTATCCGTTACCCTAGTATCCCATAACACAAGCCTTACAGTGCTTACTTTGGGGCTAGGCTAATTGGTGTGAGTGTTGGAAATATTTATTTATGGTTCTTTCAAGCTGTTGCCAGGTGTTCGGTATTCTACCGAACCGTTCGGCATATAGCACCATGTTCGGTGTTCGTTATGACAAAAAAACCGAAGTATGGCGGTTCTGTATTTTTTTTTGATTAATTTTACTTACTAATATACGATTCAACTGTCAGATTTTACGCAATTGGCAGTCAATGTTGCGTAACATCTCTACTTAGTTTGTGCGATATTGCCGCTTCGTACACGCGCTCACTGTGTTTGAGTCATTTTATGGATTGCGGATCGTGCATGCGGTTGGCCGTACCATGTAGTAATGCTTATGTGGAAAGAGTATTTAGCCATATGAACCATTTGTGGACTGACAGCCGTAATAAATTAAGTGTGGCATGTCCACACTTAATTTAGTGTGGACATGCCACACATAATTTATTACGTGTGTGTAGTAACGTAGTTCAGATAGGGATATCCACGGCCTTGGGCAAACAAAGCACAATCTTCCAGGCGGAATGTATTGGCATTACCAGAGCGGCACAGGCGGTTGCAGCCAGAGACATCAGAGAGTATAACATCAAGATCATCTCTGACAGTGCATCCGTGCTTCAAGCCCTACGTAGCAACACAATAAACTCTGTCCTAGTAATGGAGTGCCACAAGGCACTTCAATCCATTGCGGTTAGCAACACGGTAACTCTGCAATGGATAAAAGGACACAGCAGCTCAATCGGAAATGACGCAGCAGAGGAGCTGGCCAAGAGGGGAGCAGACACAAAAGTGTACGGTCCGGAACCTTTGCTGCCCATACCTCAGGCCCAAATTAAAACGTGGCTGCGTGAAATAACTCAAAAATCACACTTGATGGGGTGGAAAACAGGTGAAGGATGCCGGCAAACGAAAAACGCGGTTCCGGCGGTAAATAAAAGTTTTGCCCGCACCCTTACCAGACTAAATAGGGACAAACTTCGCAGGATTATAGGATCCCTGACTGGCCATTGTCCCCTAAACAAACACCTATATACAATAGGAGTAACGGACAGCCCCCTGTGCAGAGGATGCATGGAGGCGGAAGAAACGCCACAGCATGTCATCATGGAATGCAGGAGTGTGGCCGACCAACGGGCACGACTTCTCCAGTCACCAGAATCGTTTCCGGAAGCTTGCAGCAGTCTACCAAGGTTGCTTTCCTTCTGGACCGATTTAGGCTGGCTGGAGTAAATGGGAATGTTTTTGAGACACGCACAATGGTCCAATAATTAGGACTAAGTGCGGAAACCGCCCTGAAGAACTAACTAACTAACTAAATGTGGAAAGAGTATTTAGCCATATGAACCATTTGTGGACTGACAGCCGTAATAAATTAAGTGTGGCATGTCCACACTTAATTTAGTGTGGACATGCCACACATAATTTATTACGTGTGTGTAGTAACGTAGTTCAGGTGAAGGCTGAATTATGTATACGATGTAATTTCAATCTGACATGTCGTGAAATGCATGGGACAGCTAAAGAAAATAAGACATTGCTAGAAGCGTACAATAGCAAAAATTAATTACAGTACATTTATATATTTTATTACAGTTAAAAAATTTTATGTTAGAGGGAAAATTCACATCCGTATTCCCCGAGGGGGTGGATGTAGTCGCGCGATCACAAATCGTCGAAGGTTACTTTAGCATATTGGCTATAAAGACAGATGGCCATTTGTTAATTTTATTAGGTGTTAATTAGCTTTATATACCAATATTAGGACACGGAGAGCCCCATAGCAGATATAGCTTGGTCTCCGAACAATGTCAAGTTGGCGGTGGCAACATGCGAGAGGCTGGTGCTGTTGTTTGACCGAGAGGGTGTGCGCCGGGACAAGTTCAGTACAAAACCCGCTGATCCTGCCGCCGGGAAGAAATCATACGTCATTACAGGTATATCCAGTAGTACCTATATCCAGTAGTCTGAGAAGGGCTGCTGACCGCATGCTGCAGCGACACCACTTGTTTCTATAAATCGCAGTGTTGCCTGTGGTTGCAGTCTGCCGCTCGTCCCGGAATTGTACCTTAACTGTAGGTTTGTAATATATTGAATATTTTTTTTTTTCGGCGGTAGGCGTAAAACACGTTTGTAGAACCTCTGATAACATAATTAAAATAAAAATACTTACAGTGGCTTTAAATTATAATTCATTACATTAATTAATGGTTTGCATCTGTAATTTCACTGAGTAGTGTTATCTTCACTTTATATGCACATTTTATAGTGTTTTGATACTCTGTCCTGTCGGTCACTTTTCTGTCCACTGCTTTGAAAAAGAAATCAGTTATGGCAAGCATTGCTGCAATTATGGAAACACAGCACGCTTTGGAATCCAAACTTTTCAAGAAAATGAGTGAGTTGGAAGCTCGATAGAAGGCATCTTCTCCAGAGGCTGTGAGCTCATTCACTTGTGTGCAGGAAGAGTTTCGGGAGTTTAAATTGGAAACGTTGAACGTTCTTCAGCTACTTCGAGATCAAATATCCGGACTGTGTAAATCCATTGATGACATTGAGATGCGACATAGAAGAAAATATCTATTGGTTGGTGGTATCCCAGAAGACAATACTGAAGAGCTCCCTAAGTTCATTGTGAATGTACTGAACAGCAAGATGGGCCTGGCTTTATCGGAGGAGAAGCTCTCAGTCTGTCACCGTCTTGGCATTGTCAAGGAAGGTAGGTGCCGGCCAGTGTTGGTGCGTTTCCGTGAGCATTCACTGAGGTCTGCTATATGGGGCAAAAAGACGGCTCTAAAAGGTACTCCTCATACCATCTCAGAGTTCCTTACTCGCCAGCGACAATCCGTTTTCGTCAGTGCACGTAAACGATTTGGTATTAAACGGTGTTGGTCAATGGACGGGAATGTTATTGTCAAGCTGAAGGACGGATCCCGAAGGCGGTTGTTCTCCCAGGCTGACCTTGATGCAATTGTTACATCAGAAGATGAAACTCATCAAGTGGCTGCGCCGGCGGAGAAGGCGATCTCAGTTGCGCCGGTTCAGACGACGGCCTCGGCGGCACCGTTGCAGACAGCAATGCTGGTTACTCCAGCAAAATCTAAGCGGACAGCCAGGGCGAAAAAGTAACCATTTATTGTTTCATCCTTAGGTATTAATCATAGTTGCTTGTTTTTTTTCTGTCAAAATGCATGTTGGTCGTTTCCATTTCTTGATATGTTCAACTACCACCTTGTAATGTTTTTATTATTGTTGTCATAGCCACTATAATGCAATTCATTTAATATTTAATTATACCTTCTTCAATAATATCTCAGCACGTACGTCATGTATCGTTACGAAATGTCATTGTCATTTTTTTTTTGTTTATAAAGGCTCATGACACTAAGACCATACAGCTTTGTTTACTTTTTTATTTCTTTAATTTTATTTTGTTAGTACTTTGTTCGCCCTGGAATCCATTTAACCTGTCTCTTTACTGTGTCAACCGGCAGGACGGGTTATTCATTCATTTTGAAGTTTGATTGTAGGTGTATCTTTGTTTTATTACTTTATTTTGTGATTTGTATATATTTATTTATTTATGTATAATGTCCGATGATGATTCTTTTTATTCAGCACATGTTGTGAGCGTTTCCTCGTCAACCAGCTTTCACTCGCAGCCTGAACCCCGGACGTTGGGTGATGAACTTCATGAAATCTTTGACAGTGCCTCGCATAACTTCAACGCATGTCATATAAATGCTCAAAGTATACCCTCCCACTATACTGATTTTATAGATACCTTCTCCTCTTCTGTCATTCATGCCATTTTGATTTCTGAAAGCTGGCTAAAGCCAAGTCTTTCCTCTTCCTCTGTCTCACTCACTGGGTATACTCTGATCCGGAATGACCGCACTGGTAAACGTGGTGGAGGTGTCGCCATCTATCTGCGCAGTGATATTACTTTCAGGATTTTGGCTTCATCACCGACAGTGTATTCTGGCTCTGCTGAGTATATTTTCCTGGAGATCTCTGTTGGAGGTGCTAAAGCTGTACTTGCAGTTGTGTACTGTCCACCTACTATTGATTACTTCTTTGAAATAGAATCTATCCTCGAACCCCTTTGCACAGATTACAGACATCTCATAATCATGGGTGATTTTAACACCGATCTCATGCGTAATACGCCACAGTCTCTTAAATTTCTCAATATTGTCAAGTCCATTAATCTATCTATTCTGCCTTCCGAGCCAACTCACCACAATCCCTCTTCTGATGATACATGGCTTGATTTAATAATTACCTCCCCTGAAGATGTGATCTGTCATGGACAATTTCCAGCCCCAGGTTTCTCTAAACATGACCTTATCTTCTTGAAATATAAATTGAAGCCCCCTAAGCCGAAACCCTCTCTAGTCTGGATGCGTAATTTTTCTCGGCTTGATCTTGACAGGTTGAGGCAGGATGCCGCTGGGCTCGACTTTTCTTGTGTCATGTAGTCGTCGTCAGTTGATGAGAAAATCTCTCACTTTAATAAACATTTACTACAACTGTACGATACTCATGCCCCAATGAAGGCGGTTAGAGTTAGGCGACCACCTGCACCGTGGATCAGTAGGGGTGTCCGTATCGCTATGACTCGGAGGGACCGTGCGTTCCGAGCCTTCAAGCGCAGCAGATCGGAGGAGAACTGGCATATTTATAAATCTGCACGCAATAGGTGCAATGGAATGGTAAGAGCAGCTAAGCGACAATACTTTCACGATAATATTTCTAATTGTTCTTCAGCCAATATTTGGAAGTTTTTACGCTCTATTGGTTTGGGTAAAAGCTCTTCTCAATCTCAGTCTCTTCCCTTCTCTCTTGATGAGTTCAATAACCATTTCTCTGTTTCTGCTTCCTTAAAACCCGCTACCAAATCTAAAACCATTGATATAATAACTTCCATGGCTCAAACTCACTCTGAATCTTTTTCCTTCTGTCCAGTGTCAAATGATGAAATTAGGAAAATTATTATGTCCATAAAGTCGAAAGCCGTAGGATACGATGAAGTGAGCAGGGATATGATAATTAATATTCTTGACGTTACTGTTCCCATCATTGGACATATCATCAATCATTCCTTTCTCACGGGTTCCTTTCCTCTTCCTTGGCGTAAAGCCTACGTTATTCCTCTTCCCAAAACTTCCAATCCAAAACAACTGAATAACTTTAGGCCGATTTCTATTCTTCCCTTCCTCTCCAAAATACTGGAAGCTACTGCTTACCAACAAATTTCTTCCTTCATATATTCCAGGCAGTTACTTACTCCTCTCCAATCCGGTTTTCGACCTGGGCACAGTACGTCGACTGCTCTGCTTAAAGTAACCGAAGATATTCGACTTGGTATGGAGAACCAGTTGGTCACCATTATAGTCTTAATTGATTTCTCCAATGCTTTTAATATGGTAGACCATGATCTTCTGCTTGCTATTCTGAAATCCCATAATTTTTCAACTTTGACATTGGACTGGTTCTCGTCTTACCTTTCTGATCGCCAGCAGGCAGTGCGCAAAGAACGTGAATTATCTAACTGGAATGACCTGACTGCTGGTGTTCCTCAAGGGGGAATTCTTTCTCCTCTTCTATCAATTCAATTTTCTTTCCTTCTCGCTTGGCTGTTTTTAGCATTTCTACGCTGATGATCTGCAAATTTATGTGCAGACTACTGTCGAGGAAATGGCTGCTGGCATATCTCAGCTAAATAAAGATCTTTGCAATGTAAGTACGTGGTCTACAGACTTTGGAATCGCTGTTAACCCTATTAAATGTCAGGCAATCGTTGTGGGTGGTTCCAAGCAGATCTCAAAGATCGATTTTGGTCTGCTCCCACCTGTTGTGTTTGAGGGTTCTACAATTCCATTTAGCCTCAGCGTCAAGAATCTCGGCCTTCACATTGATACAACGCTAAGTTGGACTTCGCAGATTGCTGAAGTTAGCCGAGCCGTTACTTTTTCATTACGTTCCCTTAATCGCTTCAGAAATTTCCTCCCCATAAAAACTAAGATTACTCTCGTTACGTCTCTTATTCTACCACTCATTGATTATGCCGATGTCTGTTATCCCGACTTAAACGCAGATCTTCTCAACAAATTGGACCGCCTAATCAATAACGTTTCATCTTCTGCCTCCGCAAATTTGACCATATTTCCTCATATCGATCTCAACTAAGATGGCTTCCTATCCGCCAGCGCAGGCAGTTAAGATTACTCTGCACTCTTTTTTCGATAATTTCCAATCCGCATTCTCCAGAGTATTTGAAATGCAAGTTCCAATATCTCTGCGATAGTCACGAACGTCCTCTCCGCTCTTGCGATTCATTAGCTCTCTTTATCCCTCTTTCTCATTCAGGCTATATGTCCAAGTCCTTTACTCTTCAAGCCATACGGCTGTGGAATGACCTACCCGACTCCATCAGAAGATCTCCAAATAAACTCATATTTAAAAGGAATGTTCGCACTCATCTGCTTCAAAATTTAAGATAAAGAGTCACTTTATTAATCATCATCAGGTGTATAGTTATGTGTTTATATATATATATATTTAAATATAATTGTGGTATGTATTTATGTATGTGTATTCCTTTCGTAAGTACTATCTATTTACGTATATATGTATCTATGTTAATTCGTATATATTTTAATATTATTTATTATTTCAATATTTATGTTTGTATATTTAGCTTTATACCGCCGTTCGCGTTTTTCTTTTTTCCCAAAGGTTGACTGGGAGAGAATGCTATTAGCATTAAGTCCGCCTTTTGTACCATTGTTTTGTATTTTGGTCAATAAAGTTTAAAATAAATAAATATTAACCTGCTAATTTTTGTTCGCGTAGGTCGTCGGCCCCCCTATGAAAACTAAACTATTAGATTGATAAATCTGAAAAAAAAACGAGCGAGCCTTACAGTAGTCGCGTATGATGTGTAACATTTGAAATCTCACATTACATTAGTAAAAGAAGAAATAAAACCTACTACAAAAGGAATAAGCCATTTGAACTTTATGTTCTGAAATCAAATCAAATAGCGCGCGATTTCGCGACTTCCTGTTACACACTTCACTCACACTTAAACTCGCACAACGCTATGCAATCCACTAACACCATCTAGCGGTTTTTAACTGTTAGAAGCATGAAATGCGGTTAAATAACTCTCAATAACGAAAAACAAAATTTAACCGCATGGCCAAAATCGTTAATGACCGTCTTTGCATCTATACTCACATCGCACGAATGCGCGAACCCGCATGTATGGGACGACATTAAGCGAATGCCAGCGACGAATTCGCGGAGTTTTCGCTACATTCGTGCTTTTCCACGCGTTGTCGGTTTTTTGACGCACATAAGTGCACGAACCTTCGCGTAGTAAACATATGCATTTTCTGTCAGCCCTTCATGTGCGCCCAATAATTCGTGCAATGTATGAATGTGTGCACATATTATAATGTGTGACCAGCATTAGATTGCACAATTGTGCATGCAGCATAAATTGGCTCTGCTGCTCTACTAGTTTTTAGAAATTTCTGCAAAATTGACTGCTATGCTGTTGCAGCGTTGTACGTCATTTGTTTCGTAGATGTCCTTAAAATTCAATGGCTCAGCTGTACAACTGCACGCAGCCGCTGCTTGCAGTTTGCAGCGCGCTTTGAAATACTACATAGAAATAGCATATTATATACTATTCAGAAGCACTTACTAAAATACTATTATACAGGTATAACATTCAGCGACAATTCAGAATTGCTGGGAGTAGCACAGAGTGATAATATGGTATTCGTATACAGAGTGGGTTCAGATTGGACTGGCAAAAAAGTCATATGCAATAAGTTTCCGCTCACTGGATCTCCAATGCGTTTGTTGCCAGCTGAAAATGGATTTTACACGGGCACAACGGATGGTAAGATAAGGTTTGTATTTTATAATAATTCCTTTGTTAAATACACGTTAAATATAAGCACACCACAAATTCCCAGGTATATAATATTTATTTCTCGAGCGCAAACTCTACTATAATTTTCGTGCACAAATATAAATTAAGTTCTGTAGAGTTTGTTGCCAAGTATGAACAAAAAATTTCACAGATCTCGTGCCTTACGACTTGAAAGGGCTTTGAAAATGAATCTACCTATTATAGATTATAAAAAAACAACTATTCCAAAATATTTTTACATCATCATTCAAAGCCCTTCGAATTCCGCGTCTTTTGAGCGCTCATGTCCTCGAGGCAGCACGCGAATTGCCCGCCGCGTGCTATCGCACCTCTACAGCCTCAATTCAATTCAAAAATCATTTATTCAGTTTAGGCTTTTACAAGCACATGTGAAAGTCGAAAACAACACCATCGGTTCGCAAAACTACGGCGGGAGACCTTGTGAGAAGAAACGGCAAGAAACTTGGCAAGGGCTGCTTTTTTCTCCCTGTTTTATTTCATATAGTGTCGTCAAATTGAAAGTTGACATCAAACTTGCAAACATGTGTTGAGGTCAACTTCCATCACATAATGTCAAATAAGTAACAATAAATAATCAACGAATTTAGCAACAATAAGTGTAAAGAGGAGTCCCAAAATAGCAAGAAACAATCTACAAAACAAATTTTCAAAACCTCAACCGTCTTCAATATCGTAAAAAGTGTAATGACCTCAAATGTCCCTTGGTTTATAATAGGTAGATAAATTTTTAATGCCATTTCATGTCGTGTAGAGCACGAGATCTGTGATTTTTTTTATTGTTATCATTATAGATCGTAGTAAAAAGATCGCATATAACTTTTGAGTTTGATTAAAATTGGTGCTGTCACATTTTTCCAATAACAATAGAATGATACAATACCTAGTAACTTACCTACATTATAAGGAAATTAATTAAATTGACGTCGCTGAGTGCGACCCTTAGATCTTTAGACTGTAAAAGTAACAAGAGCTCGAGCCTGTGGACGGCGGGCGCGTGTTGCGTGTCCCTAGCTCGCGGCGGTGAGGGCACGCTGGCGTCGGGTCATGTGGACGGCACTTTATATCTCAACGGGCGACTGCTGCTACGATACGCGTTGCCGCCGACAGCTCTGATTCTGCTGCCACCTTATGTGAGTACAGTATCCAGACCAGGGTCTAAATTGGCGAGATTACATGTTTTATGTTCGGTTAGTAGTTAGTTAGTATACCTACTTGAAACTAAATTTAACATCAGTCTCTTCTTTTCATTCTGTATGACAAGGATATACTGTGGTCAAATTTAAGTTGAAAATATTATAATAATATATTTAATTTACAACAATATGGTGCAATATGAATAAATTTAAGAATAATTAAAACAAAAAATATACTATGACAATGAACCTAAAACTAAAAACCTTAAAAAATAAAATATAATAACTAAAATACATTATTAAAAGGAGTCCCTTTAGGCAAGGTTCCGAAGATACTGGCAGCGTTCCCCCTTTGGATAGCTAGACTAATTCTTTGTCCGAGGTAGCTGCCAGCTCTTCGGTCTCCTGTGATGTCGACTAATCTTTTCGCTATTTCTTTAAAAAGCCTTATAGCGCTAGGACCCCTCGGACCAAGGGTCTCGACACCGAATGGGACAAAATCATATTCGGAGCCTAGACCCCTGTATTTGCCTGCCTTAGCTTTTTCAGCCGCTTCACAAGCCGCACCAGCTCTGTTGTTGGTTCCATATAGGTGGGAAGGGGCCAGCGTGTCTGAACAGGTTGCATCCCATACTAGCACCCGACCCATCTTCCATGGAATCAAACTCATACCGTCCGGTTTCTTGCCATCGTCTCTTGCAATACCAGTTGGCTCAAGTAGACTTGGCACGTTGACGGTGGCAAGGGACCGGCGTATGATATCGTTAAGTGCGGCGTGTCTCGAGAAGCGGCCTGCACTTTTTTGGCAAGACAGTCCATGATGTCCTAGTTTGTCGACATCACTGCCACAGGAACATTTATGAGGAGCGCAGACCGGGATCCCAAGCCATAGACAGGTTGCCATTCGGAGTGTGTCAGGCTCAAGAAATGTGCCTGTATTTGTCGAAGGGTACGCGTGAAGCCAGTAGCCGGCCTCATGCGTACCCACGGCCAAAAGCCTAGCACGCGCCGAACCTGTATTGCAGCTCAAAAGGTTATTATAAGTTAATTTACAATTCATGTCGTCCCAGCTCCTCTGTGAATTTGGAGAAACTGGAAAATTTTGACCTGGGCATGCAATTAAGAAAGCGTTTCTAGCTTCTTCCAAGCCAGCAATCTCAAAGTTTGAAGGGGATGCCCTTAAAATTTTACTTATGAGATTTGCTGAACTATGGACAGAAAATAGGAAGGCTGGTAAAGCGACACTGGAAATTTTGCGAATCCCTAAACCACCATAACGGATGGGTAGGGATGCTTGGGTCCAAGATTGCTCGTTCAGCTGCATATTAAGAATCGATTCTAAGTTGATTAAGCCGTCTAATTGTGACAAAAGATCTAAGTGATTCCAAAAGGAGCAGCAATTATATAAACGTATACGTAAATTTTGGGACAAAAAGACAGAATTTTAAGATGCAAAGTGCATAATGTGGACTAATTTCTAGGAGACGGTCGGCAGAATTTTGAAATTTATTAATTGAATTATTAATATATTCAGAAATAGATTCATCAAAAATTGGAGAACCTAAAAGGTAAAGGGAATTACTGTTAACTATTTTAATATTTGGAGCTAAAATATTAAGTTTTTGTTTAACGTCATTTAAATTTAAGTCGTTGTTATTTATAAAAAGTTCGCATTTGCTAAAATTAAGCTCCAAACCGATGGCTTCAAATTTATTTTTGATTAAAAAAAGGTCCGGAAACACAGTATCCACATCACCTCCTAGGGTTCCGTCGTCCAAATACCAAACATTGAATTTAGAATTTAAATTTTTGATTATCGGATTTATAGCCAAACTAAAAATTGCAGGCCCAAGGGGATCACCCTGTTGACAACCTACTTCCGAGGACAGTTCATTAGAACGATATAACAATTTTGTTGGGTCGGCGTAACTGAGAAGAAGATAATTGTATATTTCCGGTATATGTTGTTTTATTTCTGTCAGCAGGGTATCCCTATTTACCGAATTGAATGCATTTTTGACATCAATTTTGAGCAACACGTCAGGCTGCCCGTAAGTTAGGGAGGAGCGTAGGGCATGGACGGCTGCCTCACACCCTCCTTTGACACCGAAGCCTAACTGTACGGGTTCAAATTCCGAATTTAGTTTTGGTAAAATATGTCGAACAGCAATTTTGGAGGCCAGACGTCGTAGTGTTGATCCAACAGCAATTGGTCTCACCCCTCCGTCCTTTTTGGTCAGGGCAATGAGGTTCGCGCCGAAAAGAATAGGAACAATTTCTGGATTGACACTACCGGAATACATAAAGTTGATTAATTTAGTGATCGAATTTACAAGTTGCTCGCCTGCATTACCCACAGAATGCGATGTTAAATCTTTCAAATGTTGGGGTGAGATTCCATCCAAACCTGCAGCCGAACCTGGTTTAAAAGATAAAATGGCATCCATAACATCTTTGTATTGAATTTGAAGGCATGCTTGCCCTGCTGTTGGTGGGTCGAGAAAATATGGGTTTGCTGGAGCTGGGGGATGTTTTGTCCGTAAGGCCTGAAGGGTGTCAGGGGTATCTGGTGATAGCACGTCATTGGAGAACAAAAGGCGAACGGCACCTTTGAGATCTCCGTCACAGATTTTGTTTTCAACGAGTTTTTTGCGATTATGCATCATGTTTGATTAGAGGTGCGGGAGAAGGCGAGGAGCTTACAGCACAGTTATTCTTAATCTTTTGTGTCAAGGATAAATTCGGTTCATCAGTTTTTAAGATATGAAGTGTGCTGTATGAAAATAAAAATAGTTTCTGCCAGTCTTGAGTAAAATTGCTTATATAACATTTCTGGATTAATTGTGACAAATGTGTAGCAACGGTTATTCGAGCTCCTCGCGGGATTCTTTTAACTATTGGTATACTATTTTTCAAATGGCTGAGATATGTGTGGAAAGGAGTTGAATCGTTGGCATCATAAGTAGGCGCACTCGGAATAATGGGAAGGATGTCTAAAGGTGAATTGTTTTGACTAATACATTGCCTGTGTGTTTTCGAAGTGTGTATTTTGAGGCCTTTCAAAGATTTAAAAGACTTGTGGCACTGTGTACAGTTGTGGGTTGCGTTCGACGTGCCATCACAAGATTGGGTCACGGACTGCATTCACAATAGTTAAATACATTCAAAAATAAATAATAACTTAAAACAGGTTTAAAAACACAAAAAGTAACTTAAAATGTACACTAATGAAACTTAAAATGTAAACATAAAAAGTCAGTCTATATGACAGCTGCTTCTTTTGGTGACAAGACGCATGCGTCGTTACCTAGGTCCGTCAAGGTTGCTAGGCCGCCGGAGCAAATCAAGCCTCCTATTGGCTGAGTAGTAGCGGGTACCTAGCAACAGGCGTGGATGTCCAAGGCGTCCTTAGTAACACAATTTGTTCGGGGAAATGTCAACAAAATAGCAGACTTTATGTAATCACATTCCAGGCAAATACATCAGCACTCAGGTTGCCCACATGCGGGGTCATATAGAAAAATTTGGGCTGCAAAAATATGGTATTTTTTTACCATTTATGGGTCATAATAATAATTTTAAAATCCAAAATATGAGCAGAGGATCTGACAGTTCAGTTGATTTTTTTTTAGTAAATCACAATAAATGCTTATCTATCGTATACCTACTTATATTACATGAGTTCTATTTTTTTTCGGGGAAACCCGCGTACTTTTGCCCTGTCCGGTCTCTCGGTTTCCACGGTTTTTCGGAGGACTTTTTGTACGACGCGGTACTTGCGTTACTCGATGCAATACCGCGGACAAAAGTGCTTCGTCTGGCAGGTTATAATGGTTCATATCTCAGACTACAGAACAAGAGGCAGATGGAGCGCACAGTACACAGATTGCGTGCCACCAAAGCAAATATCATGTCAAAGTAGTCTCTTTTTGTCTTTGTAAACAGTTTTTACAATTCCACGCGGACCAGGCAGCAGACGGGACTCGAACCCGCACCCTTCGCAATCCGGGCGAATGCACTGACCAATTATGCTACCGCGGCCCTCACGGACCGCGTCGAAAATCTTTCTAGCTATTCTTAAGCTGCAAGGCAGCGCCATCTCTTCGCATTATAGGTAAACCCACAATGTCAAATGAATACTTTTACAAGTATTAAACATTTGAAAGAAGAAATAGCAATTATAGTTATAATTTTTATTATTTTTTTTTTTAAAGCATGTAACTGCTTGATGTTTAAATCTAAAGAAAATATAACTAGAAAAAATTCCACGCGGACCAGGCAGCAGACGGGACTCGAACCCGCACCCTTCGCAATCCGGGCGAATGCACTGACCAATTATGCTACCGCGGCCCTCACGGACCGCGTCGAAAATCTTTCTAGCTATTCTTAAGCTGCAAGGCAGCGCCATCTCTTCGCATTATAGGTAAACCCACAATGTCAAATGAATACTTTTACAAGTATTAAATAAACATTTGAAAGAAGAAATAGCAATTATAGTTATAATTTTTATTATTATTTTTTTTAAAGCATGTAACTGCTTGATGTTTAAATCTAAAGAAAATATAACTAGAAAAAATTCCACGCGGACCAGGCAGCAGACGGGACTCGAACCCGCACCCTTCGCAATCCGGGCGAATGCACTGACCAATTATGCTACCGCGGCCCTCACGGACCGCGTCGAAAATCTTTCTAGCTATTCTTAAGCTGCAAGGCAGCGCCATCTCTTCGCATTATAGGTAAACCCACAATGTCAAATGAATACTTTTACAAGTATTAAACATTTGAAAGAAGAAATAGCAATTATAGTTATAATTTTTATTATTTTTTTTTAAAGCATGTAACTGCTTGATGTTTAAATTTAAAGAACATATAACTAGAAAAAATTCCACGCGGACCAGGCAGCAGACGGGACTCGAACCCGCACCCTTCGCAATCCGGGCGAATGCACTGACCAATTATGCTACCGCGGCCCTCACGGACCGCGTCGAAAATATTTCTAGCTATTCTTAAGCTGCAAGGCAGCGCCATCTCTTCGCATTATAGGTAAACCCACAATGTCAAATGAATACTTTTACAAGTATTAAACATTTGAAAGAAGAAATAGCAATTATAGTTATAATTTTTATTATTTTTTTTTTAAAGCATGTAACTGCTTGATGTTTAAATCTAAAGAAAATATAACTAGAAAAAATTCCACGCGGACCAGGCAGCAGACGGGACTCGAACCCGCACCCTTCGCAATCCGGGCGAATGCACTGACCAATTATGCTACCGCGGCCCTCACGGACCGCGTCGAAAATCTTTCTAGCTATTCTTAAGCTGCAAGGCAGCGCCATCTCTTCGCATTATAGGTAAACCCACAATGTCAAATGAATACTTTTACAAGTATTAAACATTTGAAAGAAGAAATAGCAATTATAGTTATAATTTTTATTATTATTTTTTTTTAAAGCATGTAACTGCTTGATGTTTAAATCTAAAGAAAATATAACTAGAAAAAATTCCACGCGGACCAGCAGCAGACGGGACTCGAACCCGCACCCTTCGCAATCCGGGCGAATGCACTGACCAATTATGCTACCGCGGCCCTCACGGACCGCGTCGAAAATCTTTCGAGATGGCGCTGCCTTGCAGCTTAAGAATAGCTAGAAAGATTTTCGACGCGGTCCGTGAGGGCCGCGGTAGCATAATTGGTCAGTGCATTCGCCCGGATTGCGAAGAGTGCGGGTTCGAGTCCGGTCTGCTGCCTGGACCGCGTGGAATTTTTTCTAGTTATATTTTCTTTAGATTTAAACATCAAGCAGTTACATGCTTTAAAAAAAAAATAATAAAAATTATAACTATAATTGCTATTTCTTCTTTCAAATGTTTAATACTTGTAAAAGTATTCATTTGACATTGTGGGTTTACCTATAATGCGAAGAGATGGCGCTGCCTTGCAGCTTAAGAATAGCTAGAAAGATTTTCGACGCGGTCCGTGAGGGCCGCGGTAGCATAATTGGTCAGTGCATTCGCCCGGATTGCGAAGGGTGCGGGTTCGAGTCCCGTCTGCTGCCTGGTCCGCGTGGAATTTTTTCTAGTTATATTTTCTTTAGATTTAAACATCAAGCAGTTACATGCTTTAAAAAAAAAAAAATAATAAAAATTATAGTTTTTACAATGTTTGTATTCACCACACTATGCGTTGTAGTGTACTGACGTGAGTTGATATTTGCTTTGGTGGCACGCAATCTGTGTACCGTGCGCTCTACCATTGGTTCTGTTATCTGAACTTCATAGTAGCTATTTTTAATGTTTTGCTTAGACAGGTAAAAAATATACTGCTGACAGAAAATATTTTTGCAGCTAATAGTGGGGTCATGTGACGGGCGGGTCAGTGTGTACGAAGCGCAGCGAGGTGCACTATTGCGTAGTGTAGAACCACAGTTACCACCTGACACACGGGACTTAATATCAGCTGAATTAAGCCCTTCCGGACAGGTAATAGTAATATGTTATTATATTTAAACATTGTTGAGGCTGCAGTTCAGCCTCAGGCGCGCACTAAGAGCGACGCCACCACGTGGCGTGCGACGTGCGTGCAACGCAAAAATGTCTTCGATGACGAAACGCAAAAGAAGACATCACAAATGCGCTTTGGATAAATCCGCGATGCGTTGTACGACGTCGTGGATTTCTAAGGTGCGACGCCACAACGCAGCGTTGTGACCTACGATAAAATGGTTCCAAATCGCTAACCCATATCTTAATATAAAACTTTATATTTTTTATATTAATTATAAAAATAATGCTGATTCCGAATCCCGCCTGAAATTTGAGATAAGATAAACTTTTTCTAATTATGTATATCTTAAAATATATAGGATAGCGAACTGATAACCATATGGGTTATAAGGATGTGGGAAGTGTGATTATTTCCGTCAGGATCATCATGCGCATATCCATCATGCGCGATAATCTTTTCTTTACAGACTATAGCATTCGGTGTATTTGACGGCTGTCTGGTAGGAGAAGTGAAGGACACAGGTGCCATAGAACTGACGATGCTACAAATTCCAAACTTGTACGCCGCCAGAGCTCTCGCTTGGAGCGGAGATGGCACCAAGCTAGCACTCGCTTCTCAGACAGGTGCCGTTATACAATTGGAAGCAGTTCTAAGGTGAGTATTTATAGTGTTTTCCATAATCAAATGAAAAGATTGAAAATCCATTCTAACATCGTAAGCAATTACGGAATAAGTTTTTCTGTTAAGCTGTCACGCTTAATGGTCGTATGTAACAGACATATGAACTTGGAAAAAGATCGTCACCCATAGCCTAGCTTATGTCTCTCTCTGTATACCTTAGTTAACATCTCTCTCTTCATATACTCTAGCTTAATTCTCTTCATTCACGAGCGCCTGCGTGCCTGCCCTGAACGCCGCTTTCGCGGCCTGCGTTGCCGAACGTGCTGTCTATAGAGAAAGTAACCACTCCGTTATAAGTGGTTAGGGAGTGCTGAACTTAAGAAGAAGTGGTTCTTTCTCTATGACTGATCAACCTGGTGCTGCGTAGCCGTCAACCAGTAGCCAATCCGAACGTACTGGAGTTGCTTATCCGCTTACGTTACATACTTACGTTAGGTGGACGCCTGTTCGCCCACAAGCAGAAAGGCGAGTCGGTATCGAACCCTTCCCGAGTTGATACGTGTGTTATGACTCTTAACCGTTGAACTTATTTTGATGATTATAGTATAGGAGTAGGGATACTTTTTATCGTAAAATAAAATTTTAAGTGTGAATTATGTATGATGAGGTAACCAATGTATTTAGTAAGTTGAAATGCCTTCAAGGCACTTAGTTACTTATATTATTGACTTTGTAGCAAAGCTATGGAAATTGAATATTCTTTCATGGTCAAACATGGTCTCTATACTGGTGTATAAAATTTTGATGGTAAATAATCTGATCGTAGGCGATGGGTTTGGCGTGATACAGTGGAGGTGCAACACGTGAGTCCTCGCCAACTGGTGCTCACTCGACTCGCCAACGACGCGCCGCCACTCACGATTACCACTAAATACGCACCGGATATTTTCAACGTGCGCTTTATAGGTGACGAAAATATTTAAATAAAACTTTCAAGACATTTGCGCACCATATTTTTTTTTGTCTGGGAAGAAGGATTGAGGGAAGAAGAGAAGAAAAACTCCTGGGAAGGAGGAAGAAGGATCTTGAAATATGCGTAAAGCATACGCATTCTTCAACCACCGGGGGAGCGAGAAGAAGGTATGTGGGACTCCTCCCTGCTCATTTCAGCCAGCCCTTAGGCCGGGTGAAATGAAGACATTTGCGCAAAAACTTACGGCACTAATATCATAAATAACTATAACTACTAAAGGGACGATGACAAACTTGTTTTTCGTCTTTTAGGATTATCAAAAGTATTGAACATGCATGTTTTATTTTTCACATAATCAAAACTACCTAATCTAACTACATAATCAAACTACCATACTGACATATATGGATTTGAAATGTCAAGTGACGTCACGTCTTAGTACAATTTTTACTTAGAAGTGACGTCACGAACCCATATTCCCAAATTGACGCGCTGTAAATTTTAGTTGATTTCCAAAAGAAAAAATAATTGTCCACAATTGAATATGAATTTCCTTTCATGTACTTCGCCAATATCCCTATTGTTTTTGTAGTTTTGAAATAGCCCGCAAATCTGGGATTGCCCTAAAGCTTTTACTTAGTTCAGTAACTTATCATAAGGAATTATACTTTTCTTTATTATTTTCCTGGATTTCGTTTAAAACGCGCAGTGAGGAGCGAAGGTCAAGCAAAGTAGGCCGCACGTATTATAAAGATTATCGTAAAATAAAATGAAATTCTGCTTTTATATCTGTTGTTCCTGAAAATGCCGCTTCTATAAGCGATCTATATCGCGTTGTACAGTTCGTTGTACCTACAATCCTAAACGTGAAAACGGGTTAATTAAAGGTCTTTAGTGGAGAATGCTAATTTGACTAGCGTTTATTTAATTGTAGGTAATGATTGGTACGCGGTTTGCCGTACCAGCAGTACTCTGATTCTCTGCGATATTGCTCGAGGCCTAACAAGTGAGGTGAGATATCTTATGTCTATTTGTCAAAAATTTGCTATGTTTGATGCAGATGGATGATTTTACTGAGATAATACAACACGAGGAGCTTGATGGCGCAGGTTGTTAGCGCGTTCGCTCGGCGAGCGTGGAAGGTATGCACCTTCATAAAAGCCGGTCATTGGATGGGTAACCAAAAACTTTTTATAACCTCGAGCTCCTCCGTGCTTCGGAAGGCACGTTTAGTTGTCAGTTGGTCAGCATCTGCAGTCGTTTGCACCTACCAAAACGCCCTGGGCCCGTATAGTGAGTCAAAGTCCAATCACCCTATTCCATGCATAGGAAAGGCCTGTGCGCCAGCAGTGGGGATATTAAGAGGCTTTTGATAATGAAAATGTACAACATACTAGAAAAGAAATCCACTCGGGCCAGGCAGCAGACGGGATTCGAACCCACACCCTTCGCTATCCGGGCGAATGCACTGACCATTATGCTACCGCGGCCCTGACGGCCGTGTCGAATTTTTCTCTAGCCTTAGGTGCAAGGCAGCTTTTAAACATCCAGCAGTTAAATTCTTAAAAAATAAAAAACCATGTACAACTTACGTCTTATTAGTGGCGTATCCAGGGTTCAGACTTAGGGTAAGCCTAAATGTAAATAGTGCTAAGCTTGTATTTTTTAAATAAATATTTGAATGACGACAAAAGAAAATGGTCATTTCGAAAAATGTTTTCATATTTATAACATATTAGTGTGTATTATTAATTTCGCTTTAATAGTAGTGCTAATGAGTTTTGGTCTTTTCGGCTAATACATTAGATGTTACTTATTGATGGTGTATGTAAATATGAAGATATCGTGGAGTAGCGGAGGCGAGCGAGTGTACGCAGCGGTGGGAGGCGCATGCTTACTGCATCGCGCTGGCGAACTCAGCGTCGTCGAGTATGGCTTGGACAAAGTGCTGCACACGGTCAGTTATTTTAAAAACCTTCGGTTTTAGGTATAAGTAATAGTTCTGTTGTGTTCATGCCCATGAATAAGGTTTAATTTCACAGGACAATTAAACTCAGGTTACTGATATCTAATTTGGTATACTTTTCTCATATAAGTATCAGGTATCTTCTTATACTAAATAGATCAGGTGGAGTAGGGTAATTTGCTGTACCTTATAGCTATTAACGGGATTGTTACCATGTACCTTGTTTTTTATGAGTCTCCGATATTTCGGCACTGTTGCAAGCGCCATGAACACGGAGTAACTGAAGTAATTGCGGGTAAATGTTTCGACGTAGAATCACTTTTCACAAATGTACCTGTGTTGGACTGTCTGGAAGTAGTAAAGGTGAAGTTGCAAGACAATGAAATCCCGACAGAATATGCCAAGTTGTTACATCATTGTTTGTCGACGAACTTCTTTATATACCAGGGTCAGTACTACCTCCAAATAGATGGGGTGGCAATGCGCAGTCCGGTAGCTCCAGTAGTTGCCAATATATGGATGGAGTATTTTGAGGAAAAAGCTGTCGCCACCGCCCCCACAGAAATTGCACTATGGAAGAGGTATGTTGATGACGTATTTTGTATTTTAAAAGGAAACAAAGAAGATGTCGAGGCTCTTTTGTGCAAATTTAAATGGAGTCCATACCAAAATGCGGTTCACATATGAAATGGAAGAAGACCGAAGTCTGGCCTTTCTTGATGTGAAGATTCGGGTGCTGAGTCATTCCATTCACCGCAAACCCATACATAGAGACCGTTATCTCAACGCCTCCTCGCATCACCACCCTAAACATCTAAATTCTGTAGTCACTTCACTAATGAACCGTGCATATGACTTGTGTGACAAGGAACACCTGCACGAAGAGTTGGAGCATGTACGGCGGGTCTTACAGAATAATGGATACACGTGAAAGTTTCCACCCAAACACAAACTAAAACACCAGAAACACAAAGTAGACAGGCAACCACTATTTTTGCCATATATCAAAGGAGTGACAGACAAGATCTCGAACATACTTAATAAGTACTCACTGAATACTGTCTTCACTCCTTTACAAAATCCACAAATTATTTCGACAGAACGCCACTACATACCAAGATTGGTCAGGGAAGCGATTGAAATAACCAAACACAAGAATTTCAATCGTGAGGATGGGTTTAAATTGTCAAATGTTTGGAATCCAGTGGTTCGTATGTGTAAAAACCGCAAAAATCAAAAAAGTGTAGTTCCGCGATCTGATACTGTGAGTTTTGTGTGACGGGAACAAGTGCGAGTGAATAGTGAGAATATGACCAGCGGTACGGGTATCGAGCGCAGTAAAAGACGACGTCAGAGGGTAGACCGATATGTCTGCCAATAACATCTACCCGCAATTACTTCAGTTACTCCGTGATCATGGCGCTTGCAACAGTGCCGAAATATCGGAGACTCATAAAAAACAAGGTACATGGTAGCAATCCCGTTAATAACTATAATGTTAGTGACCATGGAAGTTTATTTTTATTTTTTTTATTTTAATTTTATTTTATTAGGGATAACAAACAGTTGTACAATATATGTTAAGTGAAAGGCTTACAATTATGTTATACTTATTGTAAAACCAACAACATTATCCACAGATTAATACTAGGATTGTTTTGTAATATATATATTTCTATTATTCTTTTTCTATACTAAAAGAAAATATGTTGTACACTACACAAATAAGTATCCAGTAGAAACAAAAATCTTGTCGAGGCGTACCAAGGTAATACACATATTATACTTATAGCTAATACACATATTATGATAAAAGATCCTACACTTTGGTCTTGAAAGAAGTGTATGAGAGCAGGAAAATGTCAATATCACGTGAGCTCAAACTATCATTAAAGGTGTTCATTATTCTGTTCAACGGGGCACGCAGACCAGCGTTAGTATTGATATAACCGGGGCAGAATAGTTTATGTGGGTAGGCGTCACGGATACGGTGTGAACTACTGGGTATTCTAAATGTAATACTGTCGGTCAAATCACTACAGTCGTAATTGTTATGTAATATATTATACAAGCAGGATATATCAAAAAGCGTCCTCCGCAACTCCAGTTTTGGTATCGAAAACTTCTGCAAAAGATGATCATATGATTGTTTAGTTCGCGAGCATTTATAATTAATACGCTTGAGATATTTGCGTTGCACTGATTCTAAGTTGTTTTTATACTTGTTATAAAATGGGTTCCAAACGACTGTAGCGTATACAAGCTGTGACCTAACCAAGGCTTTAAAAAGGTAAATGTAGGTATCCGGTTTCTTAAACTGTTGACAAGTACGCATTATGAAGCCATACATTTGATATGCTTTGGATATGACGTGATTTATGTGGTTATGCAAATGTAACTCAGAGTCCAAGAGTATACCTAGATCACGAATGGTATTAACTTTCTCCAAATTTTTGTCATTTAGTGAATAGTTAAAATTGATAACGTTTTTCTTCTTTGTTGTAGTTATAAATTTACATTTTGAAACACTCAAATACAGCTTATTTTGGACACAGTAATCACTGAATCGATCAAGGTCCATCTGGAGAAGAAGACAGTCATTGAGAGTTCTGATCTGCTTGAAGATTTTTAGGTCATCAGCATAAAGTAGGAAGTTATTGTGTAAAAAACATTTATCAATATCGTTAACAAACAAAACAAACAGCAAAGGTCCTAAAATGGAGCCCTGTGCTACGCCAGACGTAGCAATTATGGTACCAGACGTATGACCGTTGATTACTACTCTCTGTGTCCTGTTAAAAATATAAGAGCAAAACCACCTCAGAAGGTTGCCTCGTATTCTCGTATTCCGTTATGTAGCCATAATTATCAAATAAATCTTCTCAATTTCCTTTAGGTGCGAACAGAACGAGTCAACCCACACGTGCTGAGTGTTCGAATCAACGAGGGTGCAAGTCGTGGCGATTCTCGGGACCGCAAACACCTAGCATACCTTCTAGACAGGCAAACCATTGCTGTTGTTGATCTAAATACCGGTATTTATCTTACTATATCTGTTTTTCTTCAGAGACACTGAATTTTCTAAATTTTGGACTTTCTACGGCTACAATTTCTATGATTATTTATTCTCTAGATAGAGCGTCGCCTTGTAAACATTGCGATAGTAAAAACAGTACAGGTTTTATATACTTGTGTGCGTGACACGCAAAACAAAACATGCGAATCTTGTATCTTACACTCGCTTTGTTCCTTACCTAACAGAATTCGAGACTACTGGACTTGTTTTTTTCTTTTCAGTATTTATTTGAAGTAAATTATAGTCATAGTAATAAAATAGTCGGCTTTTGTTTTTTTAAATTTACCTTTTTAATTTTATGACACTAAATCGTGCTTGTTCCGGAACTGTTGTTAATGTATATATTTATCAAACAATTGTTCTATCCAATTTCACAACAATGCTTTGTTAAATGAGTGCGCGAAAGTACGCTTATGAAAGCAGCAATACATTTTTTTATATAAAATTTTACTTTTTCCGCTAATTTATAATCAAGAATAAAAACAATTAATTTTTTGCGGGCATTTGTCGTGTCTTTGATCCACATAATATGCTGTGTTTGGTAATTTAAAAAGCTGTCTTGTTATGTTTTATTAGGTGTACAACTCGGTCAATGGTGGCACGAAGCTCGCGTTGATTGGCTGGAGTTGAATGAGACAGGCCAATTGTTACTACTGAGAGATACTCGGCGAAGGCTCGCGCTCCTGCGTTTGGATATTGGGGATAAGGTAAGTTGACAGACAATCATCATCAGCCGATTGTAGACGATATATTTTCTAACACACACCAATTAGCCAAGCCCTAAAGTAAGTGCTGTAAAACTTATGGTATGAGATATTAGGGTAACGGATATAAAATATTCGCGGGTATATTTATTTATATAGATATACGTATCAGCAAGGTGACGTTTCGTCTTTATTCATTGCTATCAGAAAAAAGTGAGAACTCTATAGTTAGTCTTATTTAAGAATAATGATTTAATATCTCTGACTGTGGCTGTTAACTAAGTAAAATTACAAACTTCTGGAGTAAATGACGACTTCCGTGGTAGGTACCTTGAATGGTATGTACACCGAGTTTCAAGGTGTCGCTACGCAGCGGTCCACTCAGAGGTTCCGGGTTCGAATCCCGGTGGGGCAAATGTTTTTATAATGAAAGTGAACCGAGCATTTGTACCTTGTCATGGATGGATGTTTATACGTTAGTATTTCTACTTTGTTATATCCTTATATAATATGTCAGTATAGGTATTCTATCCGTACATTGTGGTTTAAAAACTGCAGGCCTGTCAAATAAATTTATTTTTGTTTCTGTTTTCAGGAAATCATTGCTAGTGGAGTTGGTTTCGTGCAATGGATTGAGAACAGCGATGCTGTCGTTGCACAAACGCCTACACACCTGCTTATTTGGTAAATAACAATTAAAAGAAGAAGCTTGTAGAACATTATTAGACAATCTAGTATTAATTTATAATAGGGATAATGACGGGGTAAAATTAAATGTATCTGTTTATAGTCCTGTAGATTATCAAAAAAGAATGACAATTATCTCTTAGTCTGTTAATCAACCATCAATTGACAAAGTTAAAGCACGTTAAAGTTTGGGAGTAGGGGATCATGAGGTCACTTCTGAATAAAAATTGTTCAAAGACGTGACATCATGCAACATTCCAAATTAATAAATCTGTAACGTTTTATTATGCGAATAAAAAGAAATGTGTCCAACACTTTTATATAATCTACCTGGTAGACGAAAAAGAAAACAAAAGTTGGTCATCATCCATAATGCGAGTATTTTAGCAAGATTTTAGTCTAAAGATTTAGGCCCGTATTTATAGAAAGATTCTCAGTGATTGATCTAGTCTTGAGCATAGTAAGAAAGGGATGTCACTTTATATAGCACATAGCGACATCCCTTTCTAGTTGTCATTCTGTAATACGGGCCTTAGAGTTAGAGTATCTACATAATAGGTGTTCGATGGCGTTGGTGGTTAGCGCGTTCGAATGTAATCGTAAAAGTTAATCAGTTTCGCAGTGGTTGGTCATTGAACCGGTAACCAAAAATTGCTATCTCGAGCTGCTGCGTGCTTCGGATGGCACGTTAAGCCGTTGGTCTCAACTGCGTCTGCATTCACTAGCACCTACTAATTCGCATAGGTCCACATGGGTCATGGCCCAATCTCCCTATTCCGTCCATAGGGAAGGCCTGTGCCCCAGTAGTGGAAACATTAATCATGATGAAGTACCTACATATACAGGTATAGCGTATGGGAGTCTGACAGCGCCGAGATGGCGGAGTGCAGTGGCGGACTAGCGGTAGAAGTTAACTCGCGACGGGTGCTGTTCGAAGGAGGACAAATGCCTTACCTGCAGTTGGACGAACATCGGCTCGCGTTCAGTATGTATAATGACGAAACTTATATGGGAGTCTGACAGTGCCGATATGGCGGAGTGCAGTGGTGGAGTGGCAGTTGAAGTTAACTCGCGACGGGTGCTGTTCGAAGGAGGACAGATGCCTTACCTGCAGTTGGACGAACATCGGCTCGCGTTCAGTATGTATTATGACGAAACTTATATGGGAGTCTGACTTGGCCGATATGGCGGAGTGCAGTGGTGGACTTGCAGTAGAAGTTAACTCGCGGCGGGTGCTGTTCGAAGGAGGACAGATGCCTTACCTGCAGTTGGACGAACATCGGCTCGCGTTCAGTATGTATAATGACGAAACTTATATGGGAGTCTGACAGTGCCGATATGGCGGAGTGCAGTGGTGGAGTGGCAGTAGAAGTTAACTCGCGACGGGTGCTGTTCGAAGGAGGATAGATGCCTTACCTGCAGTTGGACGAACATCGGCTCGCGTTCAGTATATATAACGAGAAGGGTAACGGTTCAACCATTTTTGGTAAAAGGGTGTCAAACAAGTGTGTGTCCCGCCTTATGGTAAGCGGCCACCATAGCCCATAGACGCTTGCGATACAATAAATATCACTCGTACCGTTGCCTACTTTTTGAAGGATGGAAGAACCATGGATCAGCTTCAATGATGAAATGACTGTTACGCCTTAACCCACGAGCGTTCTCAGCCGATTTTAATAGTTTTTTTTTGTAAATCCGATCAACAGTTACAGGCGCAGATTGTGACGGAGCAGGAAATTTTGAAATTCACAAAAATACAATCCATATTATCAAAAACTTATTTTTCAGAATTTTCATTTCAATGCGTCATATGACTACCACTGGATTTTCCTTTTTCTGTTTACACAATAATGGCATCTATTAAATATGATATAATCACGCGCCGCTCCAATATATGGTGCAAGCGAAGTTTTACACTAAGTGACTCCATCGACCTAGTTTATCTGAGATTAAGGTGAAGTTAGGTGTATAATATCTGCACCGATCAACTACGCGACGCGACGTGGCTTAGACCTAGAATGCAAGAATCCCTCCTACTATAAGTATATGGAAATAACATCAAATAAATTATAGGTATAGGTTATAAAATAGTTTCGCTAACGACTCAAAAGTTCCGAAATTGAAGCAAAAGTTCCGTATCGGTAAGGTTGCTGGTGACTACGCGTTCTCTTCGAGTTGGCTGCCTCACCCTCCCTAACACACCGCACCGCACTCCCAGACAAACCCTATTTTTTTTTCACTGCTCCCCACTTTGTTGCAGGTCTTTGTTTATCTTTTTTTATTATTTTGTGTCTTTTCATTGTTTACTCTTTTTTTGCTTTAAAAGCACGTTTGTTTTTTCGCGCTTACATTCTTCTACACATTATTCTTTTTGTGTTTCTTTTGCCTTTTTTTATTTTCAAATATTTCTTACTCTATTACATTTCTTTTCCTTATTGATTTTTCACTTTTACATTTATATTGGTTCTTCCTCATATTTTCATTTTTGCATTATACATTTCAATATTTACTCTTATTCTGTACTATTATGCTATATACAGATTAATGTCTATTGTTTTTAACGGATTTTTAAATTTCCTTATTACATTTACATTGTTGATGCTTACTCTCTACTATTGTTTCCTTAGTCTAGTTACATAAGGGTCAGGCCGCCATTTTTTGCTGATATGGCGCAGAAGTGTTGTGTTGGTGGCGTAGAAACTTCTACGCGTCGGTGACGTTGAGTAGCGTATAATAGTGACGAATAAATGTAAAGGTTGGCATACACATGCCAAAATATTAAGATCAAATTATGTTGTATAACTTAATTGCACCAATTATGGACACTTTAAGGATGAAAAGGTGGGTTTTTTGCAGGATTATTCCTAATATATCAGGATTTTCTTATACATCAATGTTGAGCTTAATGTCCGTCTTTTTTCCTTTATGCTTATGCCGAAAAAGTTAGAAATAACCGCATAAAAATGAGAGATATCATTAAAATATAAACACGGTTTTTTAAGCTAGTAATGGACAGGGAAAATCATTTAATGGACATCCAGTGATGAACATGCACCAAATATGGACATCTAATAATGAACACAATTTAATAATGGACCCCCACTAATGGACCAGCTCGTTGAATTTAGAATAAGAAGTAGTTCTCTATATCTAAGTAAATAAAAACATCAACAATTTTATAATCAACTAGACATTTATTATATTTTTATTTTTTAAAGCATTTATTTGCTAGATTTTAAATCTAAAGAAAATTTTTACTAAATAAAATTCCACGCTGTCCAGGCAGCAGACGGGACTCGAAACTGCACCCTCCGCTATCCGGGCAGATGCACTGACCATTATGTTACCGTGATCTATGCCTTGCACCCTAAGAAATACAAGCTGAAATTACACGAATGGGTTTAGTTAGTATACATACATACACTCTCGAAAAACATTACCCTCCTTTCTTCGGCAGTCAGGTAAAAAGTTAGTACCTATTTATTTATTTTTATTTTTATTTATTTTATTTTAGGAAGGTTTACAGCTATCAATGACTTATTAAATAAACTAACAACAATATCCAAAAGCCAATTAAAAACCTCCACATATTAAACATGCTTATATAACTATAACTATCTCATAATATTTTATCCTACTATAATATGCTTACATGCTTATAATTCATATCATAATATATTTATTACAGCTAACAATTTATACTAACTTAAAAAAAAAACAGAAAGGAAACAGACGCCGGTTTGAATATTGAGCATACCCATTTATTTAATTAATGCCTATTTAAAATAATTCGAAGCTATAGCTCGTCTGACTGTCGCTGGGCTTGTCGAGAATAAGTCAAAGTCGTTCTCAATACTATACTTGTTGTAAATTTCACATCCACGCATTAGGAATGTGTTGTGTCGATAGTTTGTGTGAGCAAAGGGTACATTGAGCAACTGGCGACGACGCAGACTTAGTACATTAGTACGAAGACCAATTTTCGACAATAACTCCGCGCAATCAATGCTGCCATTAGCAAGTTTAGATAAAAAACAAGCGTCATTTACTTCACGGCGAATTTGAAGAGGAAGAAAGTGATAACGCTTGCAACGATGCTCGTAACTTGCAGAATACTGTCGGGCTTTAAAATCGAGAAATCGCAGAAATCTTTTTTGTACCTTCTCCAAGCGCGTAATGTAAATATTGTACATCGGATTCCACACCTGCGAGGCGTATTCCATATGGCTGCGTACGAAGGCACAGTACAACACTTTTATCGCTTTTAGAGAATTGAAGTCGCTGGACATACGCATTACAAACCCCAAAGCTTTAGAAGCTTTACTAGCAATATGATCAATATGATCATTAAACATTAGTCATGTATGACACCTAAATCTCTAATCTTGTTAACCCGGGCTAATCTGAGATTGAAAAATCTGTAATCAGATTCTATTATATGCGTTTTTCGTGTGAATGTCATATAAAAACATTTTGATACATTAAGATCCAACTTATTAAGAAGACAGTATTGCTCAAACCGTTGTAGATCTTGTTGTAATTTGATAACATCCAATGAACTACGAATTACTTTTAGAACCTTCATGTCATCCGCATATAAAATTATTTTAGAATTAAGGAAACATTTATTAATGTCTAAAATAAAAATGATAAATAAAAGTGGACCTAAAATCGATCCTTGGGGCACGCCAGATGGTATATCTATCCACCTCGACACATAACCTCGTAGGACTACAGCTTGGTTACGATTTTCAATATAAGACGTAAACCAACGAAGTAAATTGCCATGTATGCCTGCAGAATGGAGCTTGGAGAGCAATACTTGATGACCTATTCTGTCAAAACATTTTTGGTAGTCGGTATAGACAACATCTACTTGAGCACCATTCTCCATTGCCTCGGTGATAAACTCATTCGCTACTAAAAGGTTGCTGGTTGTAGAGCGCTTTTTAAGGAAACCATGTTGTTCTTCGTTAAATAAAATGTTAAGGCTGGAGTAGACGTCTTGGTAAACTAGTTTTTCAAGAATTTTGGCAAACAAACCTAATTATGATATTGGGCGGTAGTTTTCTACATTATTTTTGTCACCTTTTTTAAATATCGGTGTAATGAAAGCCGATTTCCATATTTTGGGAACAGTTCCCTCAGATAGAGAGCGACTGAACAATATGCAGAGCGGCCTCACTAAACTTTCAGCAGATTTTACTATAAAAAGAGGGGGAATCAAATCTGGTCCACTGGATTTGCTTAAATCAAGAGATTTTGAGAGTTTAAGTACTTTAATAGGATCAACTTCGACATCACTCACACTGTGGAGGTTGTTGTTGATATTTATTGTGGTATGACTCAATTGATAATTAGGCTTTAAAAAAGTGGACAGAAAATACTCCGCAAACAAGTCACTAATTCCCTCGCCGGTGTCCGCGCTCACAGATTTGTAATTCATTACACTGGGAAAAGTTGAGCTACTTTTCTTAGATTTTACAAATGCCCAAAATGCTTTAGGGTTTTTTATAATTGAGGATTCAACGCGTTTAATGTACTCACCAAAACAGACCTTTTCAAGTTCGTAGACTCTTTTACGTAACAAGGAGAAAGATTGGTAATCAGATAAGTTACCGTAAGTTTTATATTTTGAGTGGTACTTCGATTTTTCCTTTAACACCTTAATGAGACTTTGGTTATACCATGGTGGATATGAGCCGGGCTTAATACGTTTATGAGGTATATATTTATCACGAATATGGTACAATTTGTTATAAAAATTGGTAACTGCGTCTTCTAATGAACCTGCCCCCAAGTAATTGTACCAATCAATATTGTCAAGTTCGGACGTAATCGCACTGTAGTCACCCCGAGCAAAAATATATTTCATACGGCTCGTCTCTTTTAGCTCATGAATTGCAACAAATTCAGCGTGAATTTCAAGAGACTTGTGGTGCAAATCCTCCGTAACCAATGGCTGGACACAGCTATTTATGTTTA